GCAGCTGCAGTGTCTCTGGGCCAACCTGTGCCAGTGCTCAGCACTCTCAGAAGGAAGAACTTCCTAATGTCTAAATCTACCCTCTTTCAGCCTAAAGCCCCTTGTCCTATCGCTACACGCCCTTGTAAAAAGTACTTACAATTTCTGCTTGACTTCTCTCAAATGAGAGTTCAGGGACTTCCAGGCTTCTATCTGAAGCCAACCTAGGCAGCTTTTGTGGCTGAGAGCTCTTGAATGAAGCTGCTTCTCGACTGTTACCTTTGTTCCTTCTAACTTGCCCTGTGTTCTTGTCCTTCCTTCTGCCTTGAAAAAGAACCTCATCTTTGTCCTGCATTTTAGGCGTTTTTATTCAGCTCTAGCTGATGTTCTGTAAAATAAAAAGCTGTCCTCCCTTCCTTGTAGCTTTTCCAAACTCAAACCTTCTGAAATGCATTCAACATTTTTAATTCTTTGAGCTTTTGTATTGATTAGAAAAGGTCTTTACAGCCTGTAGTAGCACCTTTGCATTATCTTTATTCCCTCTCTTACAGTTTAGGCAGTATATAGATAATTGTGGCTTAAATGCAGCGGCAGGTGGAAAGGGCTGGCCTCACTCCTTTCCATGTGCTGCTTTGTGCCTTTCCCCTTGGGTGCTAGTGTTGGCAGGAGCATGGTTAGATCACAGACCTGCTTTGGCTGTAAATGCTCCACGCAGCAGATGAAAGTAGTTTAGGTTTTTGGATGGGGTTGTTGCTGTGCTTCATCTGCTGTCCTATGCCTGCCTTTAACTGGTGACAAGAGAAACAGTGAACGGTTTCAGCAGAACTGTGAAATTTCACCATATGTGAGATTTGAAATTAATTGTAACTTTTAAACTTTCTTTTAAAAGCCTTCAGATTCCTTAAAAGAAACTATAGAAGGAACCTGATGATAGATGAGTGTTTTATAAGTAGTTTAAATCCAAACTCTGTCTGAGGTAGGGCATTTGAGGGCAGTTTGGGCTTACTCTGGCAATCCTTGCCTTACTCTCTGTGCTGCCCGATACATCCCTCTGCTCCAGTGCACGTGTTGCACGTGCTCAAGCTATCTGTTACAGAAAAGTGGCAGTCTCAGTTGTCTCTTCACTTTAAAAGACCCACAATGTTTGTATGCCTCTACCCTTTCTGCCACAGCTAAGGTGCTTAATGTGCAGATAAATGCACTGTGGTCTGTAGAGCCCCAATTTTCCTGTTGCTACCTCCATTCTCATTATTGTATCCTGAGGGGAAAATAAAGGGTCTTTTCTTGGCGTTTGTACAAAATCCTAGTGAGCTTCTCGTGAAGAAAAAGCAGAACCAAGCTATGCTGATACTGAACAGATAAAGATTTGCTTTTATGGGCTTATCAGGGTGTCAGATTGATTGTTCACCTGTATGTAGAACTGTTGTTAGGACTACTGGTCATCCTTTTAAACCCACTGAATTCCTATGTTCCATAATATAAAACTATTGTAGAAAAAAAACCCAACTCCACAGTAATTTAGTAGGCTGAAGATCTAAGTATATTCTTTAATAAAGCAGGCTAAATAACCAACAGTCTCTAATGATTAATTAGGGAAACATGCTATTCATTTTAACTAATCCCCCTCCCAAGTGTAATCTCAGCTCTGCAACCTGCTCACTGAGTCCTGTCTTCACAAGCTGGCCAGGCTCTAGACTGTGCATGAGGAAAAGAGGGTAATAACCTTCTATTTTAACTTTAAGGTTCCTGTGGTTCCTTTGTTAAATGGATCCTGGAGGCCAAGTGCAAATCAATTGTTGTGGATTAAGGGCTTTGATAAATCATAGCTAATCACTTGATGGATAAACTAATGGTCCCCTCACAAAGTTGTATTGGGATAATTCCATTCCAAAGGGAAATAATAACCTGGTGAGTGAATAGGAGGGAGTCTGTGTTTGGTCTCACACCAAAGTTTATTTAAAAACATCCCAAAGTTTGTAAGTGCCTAGAATTCTGTATCATAAGCTTGGATTTAAATTACCCTGTTCTCTCCTGATGGAGACCCACAAAATAGGGAGTTTTGATTCTTACCATAGGATTTCTGTGCTTTGTTGCTCTCCCGTGAGATAGATGCCTGTAGCATCCATATTTCCACCTAATTAACTACATTTTTAGCAATTACAACTACATGTTTCAGATTGCTGATGCTGAGCTCTGTGAGGCTCTCTATTTGGGTAGGAAATGACCCTGTACAGTAAGAAGGGCTTCAACATTACCAGTGTAATTTCTCTGTAGCTCCCTGGGGTTTTTACAACTGTTATAACAATGTTTGATAGGAATGAACAGAGAATTTTGCATTCAAATAAAGTACAGCTTGCTTAGTATTTGACAACCACCACTTAGAAAACATGTCTGTAGGTTTTTAGTGGTCTATCACGGTTAACTCCCTCTTGAGGAGGGAAGTAGCATCTCTCTAGGTCAAAGATACAATGTCTTAATGATACATGCTGCCCCCATTTTTATGTTTTGTTTTCAAATGCATTACTCTTTTCCCTTATCCTTCCCTGTACTGCTCACATCTCTGAAAACCCTTCCCTCAGGAGGTGAGAACAGAAGCTTTTCAGAGCAAGTGATAGATTTTACCAATTCCATTAGGGAATGGGGTCTACCCTATCTACTGTCATCACTGTAATCCTGAGGTACTGGCAATTAGAAATCATTGGAGGCAATGTTTGTATCTTACAAACATCTTCATTACTAATAAAGCTCTTATTCTAAAGACATGACCCTGAGATAAGATGTAAGGCTGATAGTTTTATAAGCAGTGGATTTACAGATTAATGAGCATGTTTCTCAGTGTGAAATGTCATTAAATTCCACTACCATTAGCACGACAGCAAGGACTTCAGCAGCTTACCAACACTGCCCTTTCTTCTAAGAGATAACACCCAAAATATGTGTTCTACTTTTCTCTCACATACAAATAAGTAACTTATTGCCTACTATAGAAGCTGTGGCAAAGGTTACCGATTTTTCTCTCTTTTAAAATGTTATTTGCTTTACTTTTCCTCAGAGCTACATCCTGTCTGGGTTTCAGCTTTATAAGGCAGTACCTTCTGTGGTTTGATGTTTGTGGTGTCCAGTAGTGCATGGTGTGCAGCTGTGGGAGCTGTTTCCTTTGTTATTTTTAATGAGTGTAATTTGCAGCAGTTTTCCATCTTTGGAATAGCTGAACTTGCCCTCTATCAATCATGAATTTAAAGCCAGACTTTTCCAAGAACAGGCACCGAGCACAAGGTGCTAAAGAAACCAAGATTCAGTGTTGTCTTTTCCCTGCTGGCCATGAAAACTATCTGCTAACTACAGCTATTCACCAAAGAACAAGTACTTCAGAAGGAAAAGCTCAGGAGTTTTAGGACTTAATTACAGAACTGTATTTATGAAGTGTTCCATTTTCAAAAACCCCTGCTTCAGCACACATATTTAAAGACATGTGGACAGTGAGGGTACAAACTCAGGTTCATCCACTTACCACTGATGCAAGAGCTCCACAAAGAGAATAAAGCTTGCTGGTGTCTTTGAAGCACAGTCACATTGGCATTGGGGTAGCTGGAATTATGTTTACCTGATCACCTCCCCAAGCTAGATGTACTCTTGATTCAGCTCACTGGGTATGAGAGCAGTGACTGCAGATAGCCTTTTGCTCTGTAACCAACACCAATCCCAGTGCAAGACCTTGCATGGAAGCCATGATGTATTTCAATAACAAAATAGGATTTGAAGGGAAAAAGCAAGTATTAATCACATTTCTTGTTTATCTGTTTTTCACTCTTACACACAAGTGTCACTTTCACCAAAGGGATGTTAATCCATCCAAACACAAGTCTTCATATAGGTTGTTGGGAGGGAGGGGTGAAAAAGGAGAAAAGCATAACTTTTATTCCATTGCTTTTTAGCTGGAAAACACACTGAGACAAAGATGCAAGCTGTGCTGCTGCTCCACTTCGAAATCTGTGTTCCAACCACTGCTTCAAGCTAGGCTCTTACAGGTCAGCTTGACACCTTTCACTAAGAAACAGGCATCAGAGCTGCACTTAAATTTGTTCTGGAACCACCACAACTATTAGCCCATGCTACTGAAATGAGTTTCCATTCCCACCATTTAATTCCTATGAGACCAGTTCTGTAACCAAGGATTTCATCTTAGAGAAGCAGCAGCTCCAGCAGTTTCGGTTGTAAAGGAACAAAGACAAGTGCTACACAGATCCAATGTCTTTTGAAAATATTTTATGTTAAAAATACAGAAAAAAATATTTTTTGTCCAAAGAGGTAAAATATACTGCACGATGACACTGGTTTAGGTATGGTCAGAAGGTGTCTGTGGCTTCACAACCAGTCACTGGAGTGATGACCCAATTTGGCAGCTAATGGTTCTTTTTCAACTTCTCAATCATTTATCAAAGCCAGAATCATACTGTGACAAAACAGAAAACATGACACCAGTGGATTACTGAGGCACGTCCAAGTAGCAACAGCTATTGCTTTCATGGAGAATTGTGCTTGATTCTGAAATGCAAAGTCAAGACAACTGTGCTCTGTGCTCTACTCATGAGGACTGAAGAAGTAATACTACAGCACAAGAACAGTAGTTCTATCCCATAATAAGTGAGCCCATCACAGAATTCACCCATTTATAACTTAGCCTGGTTAATTTTTAGCTTCTAGAACAGAACTTGTAAAGTAAATTTGATCCTCAAGATTATTTCCATTCTAAACAGGCTGCTTATTCTAGGTGCTGAAATCATGTAACCCCTTATATTGTACTTATAGATTTCTGAGATTAAGGAGTAGTCTGAGCTTTCAAACAGCGGATCAGAGAGAATAAAGGCACATAATGAGCCTGCAGACAGTTGTCAGAATACATTATTGAGGCTTAGCAGGATGCAAGACACAAATACCAGCAATTACCATAGCAGAATAGAGGAGATAAAAATAGCTGGCAGACAATTCCTTTGTTCCTTGGGAGCAATTTTGCAACTAACCTGTAAAGGTACATGAAGAAACACAGCAGATGAAAGCCTAGTTTAATCATGGCTTCCTTCATGTGTGATTTCAGTTGTCCTCGGTTGTGGATCTCTGTGGGGTCAAATACCCCCATGTTTCCACATGGCACCATAATGTACCTGAAAGTTTAAGAAGAAAGAAACCAAATCAAAACAGAAGTATAGTAATCAAAACAGTAGGGAGTGTAGAGGAAGGGGAACAGGAGAGCTTGCACAGAAGGGACTTCCATCTGAGGAGTTGTTTCACAGTTCTTTCTAAATTCCGTTTCAGTTTCAGGATATTGTGTGAATTTCTGCCACTACAACCCACCATCAAAGAGGACAAAAAGCACTAAACGCATCAGCCCAACATCCCATGTGTCAATGGGAGAGTTTCCAGGCAATAGCTCATTCCAGTTTGTTTTAATTGCTGTTCATGGTTAATTGGTGTTATGATGGAAATGTCCACCCACAGCGGAAAAGATGCATTAAATGAAATGGATTGGAAAGGATTTAATTTAGCTAAGAATTTAGCTAATAAATTATTTATTTAGCAGAAAACCCCACATAGATCATCACAAATGCCAGTGGTCAAATGAGACAGCGCAGAAGAGACAAAACATATGTGCATTAGCATTATTCCCATCTTTGTCACAATCATCCTGTGTTATCTCGGCAGAGACATTGAGGCTGACACGGTGAGAGACTGGGCAGGACTGTAGAAGGTAAGTGGTGCTGTCTAAACCCACATAAGAACAGAAGTTGGGTAAAACAAAGTGAAATGGAAGCAAAACAATAACACCAGCAAAGCACATGTTTATGTATGTCCTGTGGAAATCCAACAAGCAGCATGTTCTTTTGCCATAAGCATTTCTCAGGACAGCAAATGCAAGTGCGTGAAGTTCTCATTCCAGCTGAGCTCAGTCTAGAACAGTATTATTAGTATTTCACTTCAGTGTCATACAGGCTCTACCTTCCTGAAATAATACTCTTTCTACACAGGAATCTAACTCCTCATCTTTCACCCACAGCAAAAGCAAGCTTTCAGAACAGAACGCTTCTTCATTTTCTGTATATACTCAAAGAATGGCACCACTTGTATTCCAACAGGCACTGCCCACCTCTCACAACATTCATCTCAGTAATAGAAGGGGAAGGAAAGGAACAAGAAACAGGGGTGGTTTATGGCAGCAGCGGGAGACAAGATAAAACCAAACCAACCAACCAAAACTATACAACCAACCAAAATCCATTAAGACCACAGTAATGGTCTTTCTTTCACAGAAGCATTAAGAAGCACTGCAGCATATTTGACTAATAACAAATTCAATTATGTCCCATTACAAATAGTTCATGTGAAATAACTACAATTTGAAATTCTCTTCTAAATGTGAAGTTTTAAGTGATTGTTCTATTTTTAGTACTATAACACAAATTACTGTCCATTTACTGGGAATGTAATGCGTTTTATTGGAATAAAAGGAGGAACATAAGTTTCCTGTATCAATTTATCCTAAATAAAGCACAGTTTTCTAATGTCCCTAGGAAATGAGTGCCATAAAGGTAGTATTTATTAATTCAGCTTTTTAAGAAGAACATTGATAACACCTAAATGATGCAACTTAATTGTGGAACCTGGGAGGTAATTCCACCAAGAGGCCCACAAGCCAGTACAGATTATATATCTCAGGAACTTCAGCCATGGACACAAGGATGCCAGATGCTAGCAAACCCAACTCAAGCCCATTGTTTTACTCTAAACAACAAAAAACTTGTGCAGCAAAGCCACACAGAACAAGAAAACTGTCAGCTTTAGTGAATATATACAGTGGTGCCTCCAGGATCTCCACTCAGTGGAAGCTGCTGCCACAGCAACAGGACATTTGCCTCTAGATTACATAATATCATAAGGGATGTGGAAGTTCTGGTCAAGATTTTCACTGTATTTTAAAGATTACCCTTTTTTTACTCCTTCAGTTTTGAGAGGTGTGTGATTTCCTTAAAGACATGGCAAAATCACATCATTTGGACCTATTGTCTCAAGCAGGTCTACATAGCAAAGATGAAAGGGAAGCATTCAAAGTTGATTTCTTTCTTGTCTACTCACACTCAACATTTCCTTTGTAGTTCTTGTTTCTTTTACATAATAGCAGGTCTAAGAAATATTTAAGAACTAAAAAAATACCTGTTTTCAAATATGATTCAATTTCAAATGAGCTGCTTCAAGATCTAGTTTTAAAACACTGTAAGGCTAAACTGTGTGTCTCACTGGAGATTGTGTAAGACACTAGGAAATTCAGCAAAAAATAAACCAAGTTAAGTGAGCACCTGAGTATGCTGACCAAAAAGGGCCAGCAGGATGTTTTAATAAACATGCTGCAACTTTGAACATCTCCCTTGATGCTGTTTTTGACCAATTTATCCTCCCTGGGATTTGTTTTTTGTGCCCCTTTCACAAAAACCCTCTCTACCCTTACTGAAATCATTGAGACAGCTGGATAAATTAAGCCAGCACTGGCTGTAACCACCATTCTGTCATCAAGACTAATCAGGCTTTGAAGGGAAGAGATAAGGGGAAGGGATTATTATCCTACCTTTCTCTCTATTATCACTTAGATATACTACAAAGCACAGATTTCTTCAATCTCAAAACTACAAGTATTTACATTTCTGTACTCCTCTTGGAGTAGAATGATTATCTTAAACCTTTCTGAATTCATGTGCAGCAACACTGACTCCAGAGACTGATCTTTGAGATACTGTAACATATGAAGAAGATTCAAACACATTTAGCGGATGCTGGAAGATTGCAGCTCATGATAACAGGTTCACACTTCATCTGTTCCCACTTAATCCTAGTTTAGTAAATGATACCTTCTCCTCTCATCCGTATATTCAGACTACTTTACAGTCCACCATTCTTCTGACTACCAGATATTTAGTCCACTGAACAATGAGTGAAATTTAAGTTCTGTCCCAAATCATCACATTTCCTTTGTAATGCTAAAAAACACACTTGCTTTTGCAGACCTCTAAATCCTTCACTAGGGATGGGATAGTCCAGGCAATCGATGTGGGTGAAACTCCTCAATCCTCAGAAAGGGGGATTAGCAATCCTCAGAAAGCAGGATTAGCAATACAGGCTTAACACAGAATCACAGAATAGTTAGGGTTGGAAAGGACCTTAAGATCATCATACTGACTGCTTGCGGCAGGACAGGAGAAGTATCATACCGTCATATTCATATATTGCCTGCACAGCACCCCTAAAATTAAGAAAACAGTTCTGGATTTAGGATACTCAGAATGTCTACCCCATGTATGACAATGAGAGCTGACAGTTCAAAACAGCAGCCAAGGCTTACTGCCTGAAGTGTGGAAACAGAAATAACTGTATCTTCTCAAATTCTCTCTGACCAGGTTTACAAAGGAAGGCAAGTCACTACTTTAAACATTATCAGTAAACAAAAGGAAGCAGGGAAGGGATAACCAGGACAAAAGCTCTTCAAAGCTTCAAAGAAAATGAATTCCCTCTCTAGTGTCTCTGTAGAAAGAGTCTAGCCTAAATGAAACATGAAATGCAAACTCCATACTTGCCAGAAGATACCAAAGGGAATACTGGTCATTTTGTGCAACTGGTCAGTGTGTAATACAGCTGTACACACAGACGGTTAAACAGAACTATCCCCGTTGCATTTAGGCAATATCTGCTTATTAAGCATACAAATTCTACTGTGTCTTATGCTACTCCAGCTCAGAAACATTTGAAGGCTTTGCTCTCGGTTTTGTAGATAACAAGGATGATGATAAATGCATGGTTATTTTGTCCAAGAACAACGAGGTCCTCAACTTCTTTTTAGTGAGAGCTATGAAGCCTCATTTAATTTTATCAGCAACTCAACCCATCCCTGCAAACAGTTAGCCCTAGCAGGTTCAGGAAAACAAGAATTACGGCAACTTTTTATATCTGTATCTTAAACATTTGGTCTTTTGGACTTCCTGTACTATAGTGATTAGTCATAAATTACAACAAATCCACATCCAGTTTTTATTAGCACAGCACTGGTAAAGATTCAGTTCTCTGCACGTCAGATGAGACAAAATAAAAAGAACATTTCTGAATCACCAGCCCCAGTGTTGCCATGTGGAAACCCCTACTGATGATAAACCATTCCAAAGCCATGGACAACCCAGTATATAAAGATTAGTAACATTAACAGTTGTCATAAGGTGAAAAGTCTGCAAACCTTTCCAGATACAAAGAGGCAAAATGGAGAACCAGAAGCAATGCAAATGAGGGGTACAGGCAAGATAGCAAACACAGGAGGGTGTGGGGGATGACACCACAGCCTGATGGTTTTACAACCATTGGCCATGCTGACCTCCATACTTTTATGCTGATATCACTATCAGGCATGTAGACACAGCATGAAAAACATTAACTGTGTTTGCAGCACTACTTCATAATTCCAATGAGAATGACACTATTTCCTATGAACTTGGGAACGACTTGCAAATCAAGATTCCTTGGCACTAAGGAGAATGGCAAGGATACTCCCTTCCAAACATTTCTACTACAGGCCAGAAGCTTCTTACCCTTCACTGTTTGGTTTCTTGCAATTTTAAATGCAAGGAGAGGAGAATTTTATGTTGGTGAGATCCATAAAGACTATTGGCAGCTCAAGAACACAACTGAAACATTTCATCACAACATATTATCTACCTTCATACTACATGTAAAGCTAAACTAGTAACAAAGAAAAAAAATAATCACACAAACCCCTTTGCACTTACCTATATATATTCCATGTTGCTACTGGCAAATTAAGGAGAAAGATGAACCAGTGCAATGAAATAAGCATTAATACTGTTACAACAGCATGGCCAATCACTTCAGGCACCACCCACTGTAGAAAGGGAAGAAAAGGAATTATATGCACAAATGTAAATTCTTTTCTGAAGAAGAGATCTATAGAGTTATCATCTAATTCTAATCATGTAAAACTCAGGCAGAAAAATCACGGCAGAAGCATATGATTTCATCACATGTGGGGAAATTGATACCTTCAGACAAATTCCATGGGAGTTAGAATATCTTAGGGTCTGGTTTTGGTCTAACAGACATCCTTTATCCAAGTATTACAAAAGTTTCTAGAGAAGCACAGCAGCTGTTTGAATACAACTATGTTACACAAGCACTTAAGAAAGCGAGTTAAGAAATATACAGTGCTCATTCAAAATCACTGCAGAGAACTGGATTTAGGAATGAGAAAAGCAGATAATTAAAATGTGCAGACACAGAACATACAAGCACCCTCAGGCTTGGAACAGATAAGAAAGTTGATCAACATGAAAACTGGCATAGTCAAATTGGGTCAGCCCCTGGCAGTAACACATTTTCACCTTTACAGTACCCTGCAGCGTTCTCTCTTACACTAAGAAAGAAAATATCAAAAATCAAAGTGAGCACCCATGCAGGAAGGCCATACTGATTTGGTTAAAACGGTATTTTTTCTTATCATAGTAAAACTCTCTACTTTTGGAGAGAAATTACACAGAAGCATCTGAGAAAGTTGCTCTAAAGACCTCAGAGTTCAGCCACAGACAGACATCCTTGGTGTGGCTTTCAAAGACAAAAGCACAGAACTTAAGAGGTCTGTGAAGAGTTAAGTCTCAGTCCCAGGAATGCAGAGAACCAAAGGTCAGAGGAACAGCCTTTCCTGACTGAATCTGCAGAAAGACAGCCATCAAAAAAAAGACAAGCAGACTGAAATAAAGGACATAAGCCAAATACTGCCAATTGAGGCTCTTCAGACACACATTACACCCCTGTTGTTTGTGATGATAAGATGAAGAGCCATTTTTTTTAAACCACATAAAATGCAAAGAATAATAATTTACTTTATTGAGTTTTGAGCAGCACGATCTAGCGTTAATGTAGTCACATTCCAAATCTGATAGCGTAATTATCTGAAGCCCAAGATGAGGAAAAATGGTATGGTGACTGGGAATACACAAAGCTTTATTTTCACCCAATAACTTGCAGAGAGCACTCAGCTCTCAGCATAGACTGTCCTGTTCTACAGCTCATCTGACAAAAGCATATTTCACTTGGCTACAATTAACTCTGGCTTTAGGTAGCAAGTTAGGCCATATTTTATCACTAGGCCAAGTGATTTTATAATGTTCTTCCTGTGGCAACTGTTGGCTAAGTGCTAAAGTTCAGTTGAACCCTAAGAACAGACTGAGGAGGCAAACTGAGTATTTTTAGTATCAGAATTATTACAACACTTGAAACCACAACTTAAAAGAAAAAGTGAATGAACTTTTAAAACTCTCCTCACAATAAAGTGTGCAACAGTGCAGGTTTATGAACTGTATCTACGTTTTGTTTTTACATTTACAGCAACATCGGCTGAATTCAAACTTCGCCAGAAAAAAAGAAGGTAACATCATTATCAAATGAACTTTCAGCAATTGAAAAAAGACTTCAGACAGAAAAGCCCTCTAAAAAAGTCTTAGGCTGTACACATCATTACGCTATGCCCTGTAAAGCTCAGGCTCCTTCCCTCCAAGAAAATTAAAAAGCACAAGATTTCTTGAATCCCTAGGTAAAGCCTTTACATTTTTCAACAAATAAAGTATCCTTCTAGGATTAAATTATTTCTAGTGCTTCTGTACTTTTTCATGTTACAGGAACTGGAGAGATTCTGAAATAGCACCAGGATGAAAGCCAATTCTCTCGTATTGAGAAAAACAAGAAAGCAAAGCCCAGTCGGCGCTTCTACACCGTAACAACGCCAGGCAGCAAAGCCCGCAGGCAGGTCTGTAATAAACAATATGGGAATTCCGTTTGCCAAGGAACTCGCAGTCTCCCAGCTGCGAGCTCACATCTAACATCGCGTAGGGTATCCTTACAATTAAAGCTACCGCATGACCGTGTTTTACAGGCCTGTGCGGTCTGTGAGAGCGTGAAGCACGCTTTGACACCCCACCACCACCAAGCATACGCTACTTGTGCTGAGCCACGATGTGTTCTCCACGGCTCCGGGCGCGCACACCCGTAGCCGTCTGCAGCCCCCCCGACCTCCAGCTCCCGAAGTAGTGAGTGTATTTCGTGCACTGGAGCACCCGCCTTTTCCCTGCAACGCGGCACTCCCGTCTCTCTGACCCCTTCCCTGTCGGCTCCCTGGGGGCAGCCGCCCCGGGCACCAGCCGCCAGCGGCCATTACCGCACAGACCCTCACGTCCCGTCGCCCTCAGCCCACCGCCAGCCCGGCGGCCCCGGCCCCGCTCGCCCGCCAGCCCTCAGCGACACTTCAATGGGCCCGCCGGGCGCGGCCGCAGCCCCAACCCTGCCCACCCCGGTCGCCCACCAACCCCAGAGAAGAAGGATACGAAGTAGACGGAAAGGAAGATGAGGGCACAGCAGTCAATGAGCGAGAAGATGAAGACCACCGACTCCATCCCGCCTCGGCCGCCGCCCTCCCGGCCGCCGTACGCTCTGTACCCCGCCCGGACAGGCCCACGCAGTGCCGCCTAGCATGCTGGGAAATGGAGTCTCCGCCTGCTCTCCTCAGCAGTCGCAGGCGGGTACGTCCCGGTTCTTGCCGCAGGCGCTGCGGTGGCGGAGGGCTCACACAGCCCCGACGGGAAGGGTACAGTCAGAGCGAGCTGCTCCTCCGTGCCGCTCTGCCGGTCCAGGCCGGCGGTTCAAAGGGGGCCTGCAGCGGCGTGGCTGAGGCGCCCTGGCGCTGCCTGCGCGCAATTCCCGCCTAGCTACTCCCGGCCGCCCGGCGCCTGCGAAGAGGTGGGCAGTCCTCGGTCCTGCCGGCGCGGGCAGGCAGCGGGCTGCGATGCGGAGCCGGCCGGGGCACTTCGTGGACCTGCGGCTGAAGCAGCGCGTTAAGCAGGTACCGAGGCTGGCGGCGGCCTCAAGGGGAGGCATCGGCGAGGGAGGGCTCCCTCAGGACTGCATGGTTCGCCGCTCCGCTACCCCGCCTTGCGGAAAGTGTCTGGGCCATCGGCCTGTTCAGAGGTGGGAGGGAAGCTCGGAGGGTCCCAGAACGCTGCCTGGCCTCTCCGGGGTTTAGAAATGGGGGGGGGGGGGGGGGTATTTTTTGGCTTTTTGTTTCCTTTTGTTTTATTCTTCAGTATTTCGATCCTGAAGCTGGCTGCAATTTCAAATCAGATGAATCTCATAGAGCCGTGGAATGGTTATGGTTGGAAGGGACCTTAAAGCTCATCCAGTTTGAACCCCCTGCCACAGGCAGAGACACCTCCCACTAGACCAGGTTGTTCCAAGCCCAGTCCAACCTCGCCTTGAACATTGCCAGGGATGGGGCAGCCACAGCTTCTCTGGACACCCTGTGCCAGCGCCTCAGCACCCACAGCTTCTCTGGACACCCTGTGCCAGCGCCTCAGCACCCTCACAGGGAAGAACTTCTGCTTAATGTCTAATCTGAATGTCCCCGCTCTCAGTTTAAAGCCATTCCCCCTTGTGCTGTCCTTACAGGCCCTAAAAGCCACGCTCCTGTTTTTTTATAGCCCCTTTAGGCACTGGGAGCTGTTCTAAGGTCTCCCCTTAAGGAGCTTTCTCTTCTCCAGAATAAACCAGCCCACCTTTCTCAGTCTGTCTCCAAAGCAGAGGTGCTCCAAGCCCCTTGGAGCATCTTCATGGCCTCCTCTGGACTTGCTCCAACAAGTTTCCATCCTTCTTATGTTGGGGGTCTCAGAACTGGACACAGTACTCCAATGTAGTCCAGAGAAAATGCACTCGGAGTATACGCAGGCAAAGTGAGTGTTTACCTTTGGAAACATGTACATTGATTATATTAATTGATGACTGAAGAAAAGGGAAGAAATAAGGTTACTTCCGCAACACACCCGTGAAGAGCAGGGAAAACAGGTGGCATAGTGCTGAGTCACACCTTCTGAAAATTTATGGTGACTTGGGAATTAAACACCATTTCTCTGAGTCTGTGGATAAGTACTCCGGTTCTAATTCCTTCAGTGTGAGTGGCTGCTTGAGGGAAGTTGCATATTTTAGTTTACAAGATCACAGTGAAATTGTCTTGACTATTCTGAAGTGAGAAAGGCAGCTGGATTTATGGTGGGCTTGATTTTTTTCTGTAGGTCACTAGTTGCTCATGGGTGACATGAAGTGTCATGTCGTTTAAAAAAGGAATTCTGAATTTAATATTAAGCAGTTTGATTTTAAATAGAGGTATTGATTTAAACGAGATTTTGAAGTTCTTGCTGCAGCCTTGGTAATGCCGTATCTTTTAGGGACATTCTGTCTCCTTTTTCTAAGAAGAAAAATGCATCATCAGGGGGTTGGAACCAGGTGATTTTTGAGTCCCTTCAAACCCAAACCATTTTGTGATTCGGTGGTTACCGTATTGAAACTTCTTCTTTCTCCTAATTTGGAGAGTGAGGAGAGAAAGCAAATGGACTCCAGTTGCACCTGAAATTTTATACATTTTCTTGCACTTTAATAACGGTGGTTTGAAAATGGGTTGGATCAGCTGCTGTCAGAAAAAAATAAAAAGGAAAAGCTTTATAGAATTCACTGTAATTTATATACTTTTCATTGAAACATCTTGTAAAGATCAAAGTTTTTATTATGATAGTATCCATGCTGTCATATGAATGTAGATTCTTTCATTTTTAAGGTAGGAGACCTAAACCCAGAAGGAGACTAACTGAGAGAAACCAAGAACTTTAAAAGGATGGACAATAAGATGGCATGTGGGTTACAAAGTCACCTTTCTTACTAAATAAAAACAATGGCATTGCACCACCAGAGATCATGGAGCCGCCAAAACACAGTGTGCTACTTTTCCCCTCTGTGTCTTAATAAGCTTTACTGTTTCATTGGGAAATACTGTCTAGTGTGTTCCAAGGCAGTTCAAAGCTGTTTGCAATTTTCATTTCTAAGAAGAGTAGGCATATTTGATCTATTTGTTCTGGTGAAGTGATTGACAAAGATTTCATTTGCTGCTTAAAATTCTTCATTTCAGTATCTTGCAAGTAGTAAATGTGGCCAGTATGTTGACATTGGAATCCTAGCATCTGATTTGCAGAAAACCTACAGGTGAGCAAAGATTTGTACTTCAGCAGTGTTTCCATCTGCTGATATATCTAGTAACTCTTACTTTATTAATGCACTGGCATTGGAAGATCTAGTTGTGGTTTGTTTTTTGTGGGCTGCTTTTTTTGTTTTAATTAAACAGCTACAGATGTATTGCAGCATGTTGGTCCTTACCCTCAGTGAGCTGAAATGTTAGGGAAAATAACACTTCGGTGCAGGCAGTTGGGGGAGATTAGAGGGCTCAGCAGGATGGTCAGTCTTGCCTAATTAATTTTAGGCTGATATGGGTGGGAGCAAGGTTGTGTGTCAGCAGGTCATCGGTGGCTGTGGGGGTTAATGAAGGTGGAGAATTATATTCATTCATGTTTGTGTGTTCTGTTTGTGCCTTGTTAGAGAAAGGGAGCCAAACCCTTTGCTTAGGATGCTTACAGGTCTTGGTGTTTTGTTTTGTTTTTCCTCTTTCAGCGATTTTATAAAAGCAAATAGATAAAATATACCCTTAGGAAGTGAAGGTAAAAGGTTGATGATTTTTGTTTGCATTTAAGGGTGCTCATTGTATCAGATTTTCTTATAGTGACTGTTATTGATCAGCAGTCATTCCTCACTGGACTGTCCTTCCTAGTCCTGTGTTCATCCAGTGTGATTGTATGTGGCTGCTTCTCTGTATCTACAGCTAAAAAGGATCTTGATAGTATTAACTAAACATCCCTTTAGAGCCCAGTATAGTTTGGTGCTTTTGCTTCATCCCAGTGATTGAGCTGTTCCAGGCTTAAGACAAAACAATTGTGTGTTCACATGGTTTATAGCTTCTATAAAAGTTTGGTTTTCAACTGACAATGTATTTTTTCCCCCTGAAAATGACACTGTGGTGGGGGAAGAAGCAGTTGGTGTAACCTGTTTATTTTGGGTTTTTTTCAGTGCAGACTATGGACGAAGAAAACGAAATGCTTTTAGAATACAAGTTGAAAAAGGTAGTTCTGTTAGTATTATGTCCAAGATCAAATTTTTTGAATATGCTTTGGCTGTTTTCTTAACATGTTTGAACCTTTCCTTTTAGTGTTTGGAATAATCAGTAATGAAAAAGAACGTGAAGATTTAGCAGGTTTAGAAGCCGAACACGTGGCAAAAAGAGCAAGACAGCAAGAGAAAAATGAGTAAGAAGAATTTTGACCATTAGATTACTTTAATAATGCCATTAGTATTGTGGCTTCTTTAAAACTTTCTTTCTGCATATTATTAAATTTTGGTAGCTTTAAGGTTACAGACAGATCTTTGATTTCCCATAGGCCTGTCTTCATCAGAAATTACCTGTAGTGAATGGAAGCACTTTTTTCACTGAAGACAAGCATATACTAGAACCAGTCACAATTTTTCTGTTATGGGGATCATATAGTCCTCAATTAGTGGATAACCTTGAGGCTTTCTTGATAGTTTTCCATAAGAGGCCCCAGTCCTCATGTGATTCAGTTCCTTAGTTTTGTTTTGTGTTTAAACATTCTTGGGTGTGAGGGACATTAACTGAATCTGAGATAAAAGGCTACAAGATGGGCTATTCAGAGTAAATCACTGCTGGATCTGAGGTTTCCTGACTCCCAGTTCTGCAGTCTCATGGACCATTCTGGTTTCTCTAACCTCTGATAGGTATTAAGGGTCTCATAGGAAATCAGGACATGGTTGTCAGAAGAGCTAGTCCAGTACAGCAGTGAATTGCTAGTACTTCCCTTGTGCCAGCACTGGAGATTGTGTGATCTCTTGGTGAACTGAATCAGATTGATCCTACACCACTTTTTCTTAGGGCAGTCTTTCAGCCATGTTGCAAAGTTTATCTAACGCATGGCAGACTTGGAAAGGATGTGGTTTTTAACTCTTCATAGGAGTAAATTTAGAGCATGAAAGTCAGGGATTTTTCTCCAGTCTTAGGCTACATATCATGGGTTTAGGGAACCACGTTGTAAGATTGCATTGTTTTGTTTTGGGGGTGTCTCCTTTGCAGTTCTGCTCTGATATCCTAATAGGTTTTGTCTTCCTTCCATGTAAAGGACTGGAGGAAGTGCCACAGATGACTCTGATTATGATGATTATCCAGAAGATCTAGTAAGTTGTATTTAATATAATTGTTTGTATTTGCATAACACACAATTCTGTGTTGTGAAATTGCAGTGCACTTGGAGAGTTTAAAAACGAAGGTGAGGTAAAGTCAGAGTTGGCAATTCCAGCTGAGAATCTATAGAAGTGAAAGGAGGCTGTTTTCTGAAGAAGGGAGAATCTGTAGTGGGGAGTCACTTCTTAAGAATGCGTGCTGGGGGCCAGATTGAAGGAGCTGACATACCTATTACTAAAAGAGGTGACTATCAATTAACAGGGGTCATTCAGAGTGAATTGCAAAGACTGCTCTCTTTGACTAGCAGATACAGTTTTATATGCTGTTGTTTGCTTTGCAGGGGAGTAGGGTAGAAGATGCATGGCTACTTTATAATACTAAATATTGTTTATGAAATACTTTTCATTGGCCTCAGTATAAATAATCCAAGTTATAACCTGTATATTTTCTTTTAAAATACATTTTGCAGTCTACAAATCACATGAACAGTTCCCTGCTGAGCTTATACAAGAAAGGAAATCCCGATTCTGTTCCAACCACTCCAAAAAATGAACCAATGGAAACCCCCCATCCTGTACGAACAGCTCCCCAAACAAGCACCCTCTCATCAGGAGCAAGAGTAGAAACACGTATCTCTGAGGGTGGCTGGTTCATTGATAAAACTCCATCTGGAAAAGACTTTTTCATTGACCTTTCTGAGGATGGAGAAGGAGATGAAAAGAAACTGATTTCTGAGGTATTGTGTTTTACAAACCCAATGTGATTTAAGTAGCAAGTATGAAGATAATTTCCCGTGTAATTTGTCATGCTTTTGAAGGGTGATACTAAGATCAGACCATCTTTCTCTCTGGATTTTTAAAATGTATTATTTTAATTACAAATGTGCATGTGTTTACAGGTAGCGAACCTATTAAATAGAAAGGAAAGATTGGCTTCAACTCAGTGGAATACTTCCTTTGAGCTTGGTTTCTGAAGAAGGAAGGGCTTAGCCTATTGTTTTGCCTTGTCAAAAGCGATTTTTGAACCTTATGGGCCATTTTAAGTGTGTTTGTATGAGAGGTAAAAAAGTCACAAAATTACAACTTCCTTCACCATTTTTTGAGGCAAATGTAGTGCTCAGTATTAGAGAGACCCAGATTAATGCCCATACTTAGAGAAAGGTTAGCAGAACTTAGCTATTATTTATTCTGTTAGCCAGTGACCAGCCTAACTAGTCAGGAAGCATGTGGCTTGCTGTAGCCATAGCACATGGTCTCCTTTAGCCAGTGGTTAAGTCTTAGAGCATGGAAAAAAGCTGAAATTGTTTGGATGGACAAGAGTTGGGGAAGTTGAAGGGAAATTGCATTGATTTATAAAGCAGTTAGAAGTAGGTCCTACTCCCCATCAAGACATATTGGCTACTTCGTGATTCCTCTCCTCCCCCCGCAATGTTTTTATCTTATTTAGGAAAAAAACACCCAGATTTGTTTAGCTGTTGAGATTTTTCCATTTGTGCATGGGAGATAACACACATTGTTTGGCTGACCAGATGTTTTGGCAGGATGCTCTTTTTTTATGTGAAGGAAGAACTACATTTATATCCACCTTTATAACTGCACAACAAAGTACTTAGTGAACAGGTAGATTTGAGACATCATCCCTTTGTCCTGCTAGTACTGTGCCCTCTTACATAGAGAAATTGAATAAAAGGGAGATCTTCAAATTGTAAAATGTTTGCAATACTGTATACTGAAAAACATACAAAACCCTTTCTCAAAGAACCTCTTTTTTCTTTGTTTTCTCCTGTATTAGTAATTTTTTTTCATACAGTTAATTTATGTCGGCACTGAATAATATTTTCTTATAGCCACTCATGACTTACTAGTAATAAGAATTGTTTCCATTGGGGTTAATATATTCATATAGGTATATGAATCCCCAAAGCGGATTGCTTTATGGTATACAAATAACTACTGTCTGATTTTGGTTAGTGGTTTGGGAGTTTTGGGTGAGGAAAGGTGTTTGGGGTTTTTTTGCTTGGAGATACATACTCTTAGCAAAAAAAGTGACTGCTGTAATTGAACCTTTTAAAAAGGGCTAATTTTCAGTAAAAAAAAAAAAAAAGGCTTTTCTACAAAAAGAAGGGGTTGAATTCCTGCCTTGCTTCTCTTTATTTATATAATATGCGTAAGATAAGCATCATAGACACACGCTTTGTCCTTTTAAGTATTTGCAGCAATTCACTGACTTGCAAAGCTTTTTATATTTAGTTCTGGGTTTATGCCCTAGAAATCAACAGAAGTGTCTGTCTTGGAGAGTGAAAGAAAGAAGACAAAGGGTAAGAGAACAAAAAGAAAAAAAGAAGAACTTCCAGATGTAGATGAAGAGATTAATTCCATCTTGCTTAAAGAGAAAGGTGAGAAGTTACTTGCAGAGTGTTACTCCAGAGAGTGTTTGACCATGGGATCCATTACCAGAGAAGTGTTTTCTGATCATCCTCAAGCATTTATTTTTTTGTTAAGCAATGTTACTTAACATAGTACTAAAAATACATTCCAGTCCTGTGTCTGCTACCACAAAATAATACTATTCCATGTACTTAGCTAATTGTTTAGCCTGAATACTTTTTGGTTTGGTGTTAGTAATTTGCATGACTTTTTCTCCTTAACAGTTAGAAGTAAGGCACCAGAGCTTTACCACCCTTCAGTGAAGTTTGAGGATGTAGGAGGCAATGATGGAACTTTAAAGGTTTGTGAAAATTGTATTTGTGGGGTACAGAATGCACTGAATAAAATGTCAGATGAAAAATAATAAAGAAGAAATCTGACAGTATTCATCTGCATGGTGCTGAGAGCAGCTGCCTGTACCAACAGCAACAAAGTGTTTTTTCCCTTTGATTAATCTTGCTGAAAGCAGTCACTGAAATTTGTGTTAGTGAACAGAATTTGCTTTATTTTTCCCTATGATATTAGCAATCTCTAATACTAATTGCTGCAATTTAGATGGAGGTCTCCCTTGTTCTTAACAGGAAATATGCAAGATGCTTATTCATGTCCGTCACCCTGAAGTCTATAAGCACTTAGGCGTGGTTCCGCCTCGCGGTTTTCTTTTACATGGACCACCAGGATGTGGAAAGACACTACTTGCACAGGCAATTGCTGGGGTGAGATAGCTTTAAATTTACAGTTTCTTCTTTTTCTGAATTATACTTAGAAAGAAAATATAATCCTCCTTCATAGAATGGTTTGGGTTGGAAAGGACCTAAAGATCATCCAATTCCAACCCCCTGCCATGGGCAGGGACGCCTCACACTAGACCACATTGCCCAAAGGTCTCTCCAACCTGGCCCTGAACACTGCCAGGGATGGAGTATATCATGATAACCTAGATTTTTCTTCTTTTTTGTCTCTTTTCTCTCCATTCAGTCTTAGTCTCAAACACATTCATCTTTACTTCCTTTGTTTAAATTCCGTCTGAATCTGTACTTGATAGAACCTCATATATAAAGAGGGGATATAGTGACAGGGTTTTATGTTGAATTTACTTGTTTTGAGGCATTCCCAGGACAACAGGATAGACATGGGTATTGAGAAGGCTATATATAAAAGATACTTTTGGTTAAATTTACCGTAGTGTTTTAAGCATGGACTGAACCTTACCGTCTTTTATGAAGCATTATATTGATTCTGTTGGGTGGCATCCATTGAACAGTGATTTCTGAATTTCAGACTGGATATTGCCTTCCCTGCGTCAAGCTAATAATTTCAGATCATAGGACAATATTGGTGTTAATAGTTTGGTGTGTGGTGAGGCTGCTGGGCTGCTATGTGCCTGTTTTGGGTATAAATCTAGGGGCTATTAAGGGGTATTTGGTGCTAACCATGGACATTTCTTTAATACAGTTATTCCTTAAATGTCACAGATTGTAACCTTAAGTATAGATACGTGGAAATTAGAAACTTTTGTAGGGAAGATTTTATTTTTTGAAAAAAAAAATGGATGTTTATTCCTTAAGTGTTGGTTAGACCCTTCTGACATAATTTCAGATGTTTTCATTTAAAAGATTTGGGTTTCTTCTTTTCAATGCTTTATTGTTAAAAGGTACCCATTGAGTGAATCTGTGCTATTTAACGATTCAGTGGGTATTTGTATCCTGGAAGGGTACTAAATTTGGGGAAAGAACCATGACACAAGTGGAAAAATGTTCAGAGATGAGTTAAAAAGATGTGGAAAGTCTGGAGAGGGTCCAGAGAAGGGTCATAAACATGATCAAAGGACTGGGAAGCTGCCATGTGAGGGAAGGCTGAGAGATCTGGGTTTGCTCTACCTTGAGAAAAGAATGTTCATGGGAGACCTTGTCACCATGTTCTGGTATTTAAAGGATGGCTGTAAAGAAGATGGAGAGTCCCTTTCTACAAGGAGTCACATGGAAAAGAGGGGGGGTGATGGATGCAAGTTACTTATGGGGAGATTCAGTTTGGGAATTTTTTCACAGTAAGAACAATCAGAATGATTCCCTAGGGAAGTGGTAGATTCCCCAATGCTGGATACTGTTAAGATTCAGCTGGACAGGGCACTAGGACATCTTTTTTAGACTCTTGTGTTTTGCAAAGAAGGGTTGCACCAGATGGTCCTTGAGATCCCTTCTAACCTGGGATTCTGATTCTGTGGTTAATGTAATGACTAATTCTTAAATACGAGATTTTCAGTAGTGCTGTTTAAGGCAGATTAGCTCCTCCAAGTCCCATGTGCTTCTGGTGGCCTTGATTTGTATAAATTAGGATTATTTTTTAATATATATGTGTAGTTCAAAGATCTTGAAATAAGCTGCCACTACCTATAGCACTACTGGGCTACAGACTATCAAAGTTACAATTTTGCTTACTTTTAAGAGCAGAAAAACATGGCCTTGAGCTTTACAAGTATCTTACTGTATACTCCTCAGGTATTTCTGGAGCAAGTTTGAGGGAACCAAACCTTGTGGAGATCTCTTTCTTCCACACTGCTAAGCAACACTTTTCACAGATGGAAATAGGCAATTTTCTCAAGAAGGGAGCTCAAGCAAGCACTGAAGTATATGTGTTGTGAAGGACTCTGTTGGGGACCAAGGTGCAAAGCTATTTGACAGTGCAATTGTTCTCTAACTGAATTAGGAAAACGTGGTTTTTGTATCCATTTCTGTTCACTTGGCCAAATGGCACAGACCCATTTTAAATCAGAGGATACAACTCATCTGTTTTTTAAAGCTCTTTAAGTTTTAGTCTTGATTAAATAATCTTTGGGCATAAAAGATGTCATACTGGAAAATATCTGTCCTCTAGGACAGCCAATATTTCTAACCTCTAGATATATCATGCAATACATGATATTGTATGTTCCTTGTCTTTTTCAGGAACTTGAGCTCCCGATGCTGAAAGTTGCAGCAACAGAGGTGGTGTCTGGAGTGTCAGGGGAGTCTGAGCAGAAACTGAGAGAGCTGTTTGAGCAGGCTGTGGTGAGACACTGGACTGTTTTTCCTTTTCTTTGTAAGGATTCATACTTTGTTGCTGTGGTATGAATGTGAGTGAATCTTTGTACTGCTACACACAAGTCATAGTGTCTCCCCTTCTGTGAGTAGAATTCCATTGTACTGTCATGCTGTCATAGAACACAAAGATCACTGTTCTGAAATCTTGACCAAAGATAGTTCATCATATCAGTGTAAAGTGATCATCATAAATTTACCTATTTGGAGCTGCTTGGCTTGATACATAAAAATAGGGAAGAGCAGTTCACTGTACTCTTTTATTATAACATTTTTTTGCTGTTTTTATCTGGCATGGGATTTGAGTGAATGTGAGAGACTTAAAACCTGGGGGTTTAAGTATAAAGTATGAAATCTGGGACAAACATAATAAGAGAACAAACCAAATTACAGCTGAAATCTTGCTTTGTTGCAATTTCCAGACTCGGTAAGAAGCAAAGAGAACCAGCCAGGTTAAAACATTAAACATTTAATATGTGGCTAATGTTTTATTTCATGAGGTCAGTTTTGTGTTCCTGACCTCTGAGAATGTTCTGGTTTTCCAACTTTATTCCATTTTTCTGCTCTCCCCTACAAATGTAGATAGGTGTTTAGAGTATGTTCCTGTAAAAAAGAATGCTAAACAAAGCTAAACTGCTTATTGTGAAGCTGTTAGATTATTATGTTTCCAGTTCTAACTACATTTTAATTTTAGAAAGCCTTGTTAAGATGTTTTTTTTAGAATAAAAATGAGTGTGGTTTCACAGATTTTTTTTTTTAGAAATTGTATCTTTTGTGTGTACATTGAGGGGAGGTTGCTTTATTTTTAAAGCAACTAAATATATTGCATGAAAGATGTTTAAAAATAAAATGTGGCCTTTCTTATAGTCTTTCACGTTCACTTAAGTAGCTTTTCCACTTAGTTTTTGTACAGGGAACAAAGCTATAGTTACACATTATGTATGTGCTGTGAATCTTTACATCTTAATTGCATTTTCTCCCGAAGTGGAGATGAATGACGACTAGATGGCGCTGTTGCCACCCGATAGCGCCGAATGCATGGGTCTGAAAATACTGGTGTTTTATATTGGACTGTTTTTGAAGATGATTCTAGTGTTTTCCTTAAGTATTCCTCTGCACTACTAGTGCTTTTTGAGCATATGAATAATCTTACATCCGTTAAACACTGTTCTGTTAGTTACACTAATTATTCTTCTATATTAGAGCTGGCTTTTTATGAAGTACATGGAATTTCAGAACACTTGTAGGAGTTGCTCATTACTCATTTATACTCTTCGAACATGGTTAGGCTCTGCCAGTCATCTGGAAGCTGGCAGATCATTCTTCATGACTACCTACTGCTCCTTCTATTTTGTGATATATGTCAGTAACACTAACTCTTGAAATTCCACAGCTCTAATGTCACTAACAAAACAAACAAAAACCAACCCAGACCTTTCTTGCCTGATTTTCTTTTCTGGACTTAAGCAAGTAAGCAGTCACAGCGGTGTATTTATCAAAAAAATAAACCAGCGTAGAGGCAAGTTTAAATTTTAAACAATATATAGACACATTTTGAATCTCAATGCCTTAATGATTTCATAGCCTCAGCTCAGCACAGTTTCATAGTCTGGTGGCTCTCCAGATAGTAATAACAACAGAATTGTTCTAGGGCAGGCTGCTTGTGCAGCAGACTTACAGTAATGCTTACAACATAGAAAGTCTGAATAATTTCTTTCTCTCTTGTAATGCACTCTGACATTGTAATTCTGTAACTATTAATATTTCTTGTTCCTAGTCCAATGCACCGTGTGTCCTTTTCATTGATGAGATTGATGCCATCACCCCAAAAAGAGAAGTTGCATCGAAGGACATGGAGCGGAGAATTGTTGCTCAGTTCCTAACTTGCATGGATGGTCAGTTTCAGGAACATCTGTACTAAGCTAAACCTTTTAATGATCAGGCTCGCTGCTTTCCTTCAGTAGTGACTTGTGGTTACTTTCGTGGAGATAGTGGTAATAATTTTTCATGTTTTGGCACAGTTTCCCTGGGGGATGATAGGAAGATTCTAATTAATTTGAGAGAATGTTGCTGCCTTATTTTCACAATGGTCTGTGCAGCGTTACAAAAGCCTGTCTGTTGGACAGAGAGTTATAATAGGAAAATGTGTCAAATGTCGTTTGAAATGCTTATTTCTTACTTGATTGTGCAAAGTGCAAATTCGAAGTAGTGGCTATAAGGATGAACAGCAGTTTAGTCTGCCTTTGGCTAGTTTATCTCTGCTGTTCTGAGTATTATTGTGTGCTGCAGAACCAGAATCCTGCTGCTATCAGGATAAAGTTGAGACAGTGGATATGAGTACTAACTTCCTTCCTTCCTTCCTTCCTTCCTTTAGATTTGAATAACGTGGCTGCCACTACCCAGGTCCTTGTTATCGGAGCAACTAACAGACCTGACTCACTTGACCCTGCATTGAGGAGAGCTGGGAGGTTTGATCGGGAAATTCGTTTGGGGATCCCAGATGAAGCAGCAAGAGAAAAGTATGTGTGTTAAAAGTTTAAGCTTCTTTTTGATTAATTAATAAATAAGGGAACAATGTGCAAGTTAACATAAAAATTCAGGAAGAGTATTGTGTTTAGTACTGGTTTTGCCTGTACACACTTGTGGGTCAGCATACACTGAAAAGTGCAGAAGACATTAAGTGTGCATCTTTTCTTTGTCTTGATAGCTGTGACTACATTTGGAATGGTTTCATTTCTTGTGAGCAGTTGTTACTGGGTTTTCAAGTGCCTTAATAGTAGAGAGGATGGAATTAAATATATGTTCCCTGTTGTTCAGAAGATTAACATTCTGTCTTTGGTGCTCCCTGTGTAACTATTAAATTAGGAACATAAATTAAGCCCATTTGTTAGTCCTGTCAAGCACATACATACCTTAAGCAACAGGCCTAAGTTCTTCCATTCCATTTGTTGTGGAAGGTCCAGGCATTAAGCTGAGCTGCAATTATCCTGTTTTGTAACTAGCCCCTTTATATTCCAAATATTTGTGACTGTCAGACTAGATGGAAAAACTAAAACAAACCAAAAACCCCACAACTTTTGCTTTTCTTAATTAAAAAAAAGAACTGCTACTCATTTTCACAATAGCAAAAAACACAGGAAGGGAAATGTAAAGACAGCTGTGGCTTATCTTGATATGCAAAGGAAAGAAAGGTTAAAGGATAAGTTCATTCTAGCTTAAACTTTATTTCTTAGGTTGACAAAACAAACTATTCTGCTTGCAGTATTGCTCACTTTGTGTTCTCAACACTGCTGGCCGATATTCCACCTTTCTTTCCCCCCACCCTGCCCGTACAGTAATTATGTATGTAGTAGTTATGTTCCTCTTGGTTGTGCACAAACATGCAAGTGGTTTGATGTAGAACTAAAGAATTTACTGTTGAGATTTCTTATTCTGATATTTCTTTGGTTTGTGTTGAAAATATGATATTCAGTATGATATTCCCAGAAACAGCACTGCTTCAAAGGATAGAAGATGTGAATGGGAAAGCCATTATAGTGTTTAAAGATTGTTCATGAGTTAGTCACATTCGTTCTTGTAATTGTTTTGTACAGTTTGTATTTGTGTTCCTGGAGGTGTAGGCTTACAGGAATTGTTGATTTTATTTTTCTTTGTTAAATTAACCACCTCCCCCAGCTTTACTGTGTGTTTTGGCTTTGGGCTGGTTTCTGCTGGGGTGGTTTTCTCCTTTCTCTGAAAAATAGAAGGGTCATATAGAAGCAGAAGTCCTCATAGTGCTCTGGTTTACCACGTAATAAAGTCTTGCTGAAAGTGTGATTTGAACTACCTAATTGTGGTTCTACAGCCTTGGGGGGGTAAAGTAGAATGAGAAGGAGTACCTGGTGTTTACTGGCAGTGTTTTCATGTGCATGTATGAAGCACGTGAAGGAAAACAGTAGGGGATGGATTTGGAATGAGGAATTTACAGTTCTTAATACTACATTCTGAATTACTTGCTTCACTACAGATGTTGTCAGACAGGTTGAAAAAGTCTTGAGAACCAAGCCAATGTCACTAATGCAGATTTAAATGAGAGGCTGTGCAAATTATTAGTGAGGGAGGTAAACAGATGTAACATACTAAAATTCAAGAGTTATGAAAAGAGCAAGTTATTAAACTATTCAAAACATTCCTGTAGTTACATTACTTGATGTGGAAGTAATTTAAGCTACTTTTGACTGGAACTAGAAAGCACGTTAATATTCTTCACTTCTTGGCTTGTTCTTGGTTTTGTGCTGCCTTTATAGAATATTTTCCTAATGAAGTGATGTTTTGCTGTTTTAAACAAGCTGATTTGATCCCTCTGCCAGTATTTGTGTGGTGATACTGGCTTTTGTCTTTGGTTTTGACTACTTAAGTACTTTTCAGTTGTCCTTGGCTTAGCAGAACAGAAGGAAGGCCTGGTGGACCTTGAAGGAGGTTTTTAAAGCTTGGGCCTTAATACAGGGTGAAAAAACTCCCATTAAAAAAGCATGCAGAATAGCATTTCACTGCTAGTTACCTAGTGCTGTTTTGTATTAGTGATGGAACTGTATAAGTACATGTAACTTCAGCTTTTGGGTCAGGATGAGGTAACACATGAGGTGTACACATAAGCTGTTGGAAATGCCCATTGGAAATTTTATGGGGGACACAGGAAATATCTGCAGTTGTATTCAGCTGACAGTGGTAGAGGAACAATACTGAAGATTAAAAGGCAGAGCTCTTCAGACAGTCTGATTTCATTTGTTGTTTGTAGAATAGTTTGTTGTGGATGTTATTTGATAAATAAATAAAACTGGTATGGAACAGACAATGCAGACTAAGGTTGTTACGAATACAAGGTTGAATACCTCAATGCATAACTTACGTGTGTCTCTGTGGTATGCTCTGAGATCTACTCTGTCAATTTAGAATCATAAACTGAGGTTTAAAGAGTCTGTAATGTTGAGATTCACCAAAACCAGCTTTTACCCACTGATTGACATTGTTGGTTGATTCTGGGTTTTGTTTTAAGAACTGAAAGCAAGTACCTAGTATGGGTTTGTGGGTTTCACTGTTAGTTAGTTTCTAGTTGAGTGAAAATTGTTCCCACTGTACTGCTTCAGTTCATGTAGACTAAGAGAGTCCATAAATCAATGCTGTTTGTTTTCATGTGAAAATTAAAAAAGCCACAGCTTCATCTTTATTTTGTTGCTCTTTTTCTCCCTACTTGTTCAGAATTCTTCGGACTTTGTGTCGAAAACTTAAGCTCCCAGAATCCTTTGAATTTCATCACTTAGCACGGCTGACTCCAGGTTATGTAGGTGCTGATCTGATGGCACTTTGTCGTGAGGCAGCTATGTGCACAGTGAACAGGGTCCTGATAAAATCTGAGCAGCAGGAAAAGAAACATACACACGCTGGAGGAAATTCAGCTGAAGAAAGCATGGGAATAGGAACAGACATCCTGGTGGAAGAGAATGCCAAACAACTAGAACTACCTCCTAAGGTATTTGTTCATTGAAGCGTGTGCCTCTGAAGGTATAACGTAAATCTTAAGAATTGAGCCATTTTATAGTTGGGAAAGTCATTGCTCATAAATCCTTAAACATCTGTGGCAAATGTAATTTTAGATTTAGCAATAACAGCTCTTAAGTCAGAAGCTTAACTCCAAAATGACCCATATAATGGGTCTGAGTAAGTGGCTCCCAAAACCTACACCTTCTAAAGATAGTATTAATGTTTTATACAAGGTGTGGTTTTTCCTTTGGGCTTTTCATTGTTGTTGTTTGTGTTGTGTTGTTTTGTTTTCTAGCAGACCAGAGGTTAAAATAGTGGCTATATCTGTCTTCAGAAGTAACAGAATGTTAAGAATATCAAATGCACTGAGTTTTTATCAAGCTGTTTGCTGTGCCCTTAGTGAAATATCTATTATGATGCCTGGGGCTCTTTCCTCACCTGCTATAGTTACAGGTAGCCAAAAATAGGAAGTACTTATGCAGTCTACATTTTTCCCTCCAGCTGTATGATTAGTTGTGGTAAATCACATGTGGCATCTCATACCTATAGCAAGTTTGAGGGAGAGGTATCTATCCTGTGGAAAAGTTGAGTTAGCAATGTGATTTGAGAAAGTATTTGTTCATGTGCAGCACAGCTGGAACTCTGTGGCAAAAAACAGCATTTCCAGTGCCCGAATTATTCTGTGGTGCAAGTAACATGCTGTTGTCAGTGAACCAGACCATCTTTATCTAGAAATTCTTGGCCCTACTTGTCAGTATTCAGAGGATGTATGTGCCTTCATTACATGTAGGTTTCCTGAAGATTTGTCTGGAGAAGTAAAATGAATTGGTTTTAAATCCACTTTGTAGTCAAATTCTGGTTTTAGAAGGACTGTCAAAGAAAAGTGCTATTGCCATTAACAAAAAAAAGTGTAAAAAGCTGTAGTAAGCTTTTGTATTAGAATAACATCATCACACTGCAATAACTCCCAGTGTTTCCTGGGGCCTGACGTAGTCAAAAGAAAGCAGGAAGGGGCAGGTAGTTGCAGCTTTTATCAACATCACCATGATCAAAGGGGTTATTGAGGATGAGGAAGTCTAATCCTAACAGAGCCGTATTTTGATAGCTGGCAGGAGGTTGACATAGTCTAATACAGGGCATTGTCATTAAAACCATTATATTATGTTTATAATGGGAAACTAAACATACAAAGCCTTTAAAAATCATTCACACAATTCAAGTAAACAAACTCAGTGGTCTTGGCTATTTCAGAGGGTTTTTTTAATGGTTCTGTTAAATAGAGAAGGCTTAAAAGGATTATTGGGCGCTATGAAGACTTTCTTTGTGGTCAGTTGTAGAACTATCTTAGTTGCAACAAATAGGAAGAGATACATTACCCATATACTGCTATAGGAAAAATGTGGAAACTTAACAGGGTTTCTTACCATTTTTCTCCCTCTATCTTATAAATGAAACCTCTGGTATAGTTTTCTTGTGGTGCACTATCAATTGGTTTTGATACAGCCTTTCTGTATGAGAACCGGCATGTATTTGTTGTGCAACTATAAAGTTCTTTGATCAAGTATCTTCTCAGTTTCCCCAATAAGGATCCAACTGGGGAAATTGGAATGTACCTACCTGGGGCACTGTGATCTGCAAGATGGGACAGTGTTGAAAAGTATTACCCTGTGTGTCTGTTCTGTTTGCTCAGACTTTATCAGAGCCTTACTACAGAACCAGGTCTAATCAGACTGAGGAAATTAGTTGATGACTTGGAATCAGATTGTGTTAAATAAAAGTGCATTATCTAAAAGTGTTTATTAAGAGTTTTAAAGGTTTATATGTAACTGGATATTCTGCAAATTGTTGGGATTGTGCTGTTCAGCAGTTATTTGCTTTCTCTTAAAGCAATTTGTTATTAAAACCAGAATTAATACATATTAGACGTTTTGGAAATTTCAGCATGGAAAGAACTTTTTCCTAATCAGTGTGGGAGAAACAGCGGGAAGAATTTGAAGACAAAGTACATGTGCTAGCTCTGTTTCTGTGGTATCTAAATCAAGGCTGTAGTCTCTCAGCTCAGTGCTTTCAGAAGTGTTACATGTACATAGTACTTTCCTACCATTACATTTTTATCATTAATGTTACTTTTGAATGTTGTTTTGCATATTTTATATGTATCATGCATAATTTGTTGAATAATAATTAATATTGCATTTGAAGAAAGTATTGCTTTGAAAAAGCCCTTAAACAATGGTTCTTAAAATCTTATCCAGTGCATAACCTTATTATTTCCTTTTCCATATATCCTCAGGATGAATTGCAGAGGCTTTTGGATTTGCTGAAGAAGCAAGACCCCTTGCCTGAGGAGCAGCTGCAGAAGCTGTGCATTGAGATGAATGATTTTATTGTTGCACTGTCATCTGTGCAACCCTCTGCCAAGAGAGAAGGCTTTGTCACAATTCCTGATGTGACATGGGCAGATATCGGAGCCCTGGAGGATGTTCGGGAGGAGCTGACTATGGCAATATTGGTATGTCTTAATCTTACTTGCAAAGATTTTGTCTTTGCGCTTCCCTCTGTTTTGGAAATAAAGCTATGCTTGTTTGGTTTTTGAGATTTATTGAAGGTATAATAATACAAGGTGCTGCCCATGAGTTCTAATATGCTACAACCTAGGAATTTTGCAACATCTTCATTTAAAACTTCGTTTGTCAGACTTCTCTAATTGGCTTTCAAATTCATTATGAGTCTGGTACACGTGTTTAACCTTTCACTTACTGAAAACTGCAAGCATGAAAACAGTATGTTCTTCATTACTGAACCTTAAGTTACCTAAGAATTTTGTACCAACAACCTTAGTTATGCAACTGCCACAAAAAGAATTGGAAACAATTTAGATGGGAGGTTAGCAGTCTCACTGCCAGTCAGAGGGCATCTTAGCACTAACACCTTAGGATGAGAACTTACATAAATATAATCTTTGCTTCTCAGTAATGGTACAAGATAATAAGATGCTGATTGACTGTTTATTCTTTTAGCCTGTAAAGAATTGGCATTAAAAAAAATCTTGTGAAGTATTTTTAATCCAGCTGTAACTGAAATGAAAAATCCCATGCTAGCTGTTTGTCACAGGTAATGATGATGATTTCTTTTCTAGGCACCTGTGCGAAACCCAGAGCAGTTTAAAGCTCTGGGCCTCACTACTCCAGCTGGTGTCCTCCTTGCAGGGCCTCCTGGATGTGGCAAAACGCTGTTAGCTAAGGTAATACATTTTCTAAACACAGAATCATAGAATCAACTAGGTTGGAAAAGACTTTCAAGATCCTCAAGTCCAATCATTCCCGCCAAGTCTGTCACTAAACCATATCACTAAGGGCCTCATCTACACAGTGTTTGAACATTTCCAGGGATGGTGACTTCACCGTTTCCCTGGGCAGCCTGTTCCAGTGTTTTTAAAAGTACTGGAGAATCTTGAAGTGGATGTTTTTGTAGGGATGAGTGAGTCTGGATGAGACTGCCAGAAGTTGGGCTTTTGCACCTCCTCTCATCAAAAATTAAATTTGGGCCTCTGTGCTAAAGTTATGTGATCTTCTTGTCATAAAATTGCAATTCTGCTTGAATTGATATGGAATTACTGCAAAACTTGAAGGAATGAAGTTGGTGAAGAAGAAAATAGCAAAGATAGAAAGAAACTTTATTATAGATAACCACTTGTATGGAATATTTCACTGTAACTAAATTGTATACTTGGAAGTAGCCTACACCCCATTACATTTACATAGTTTTGTTTATTTTATTTACCTGACTGAAAATACTTCTGTCTTCCTTCTCCTTGGGGCATTTGATTTCTTATGGCTTCCCCATGTAGATGCAGATAATCATTCCAGATTGTCACTCATCTTTGTCTTCAAATGCTCTTATGTAGTTGAATATCTCTTTAATTCCCACTAGTTACTGAGACTTCTTCAGCTAAAATGGGGGAGGACACCGGGCTGTGAATCTGGATCACTGCCCCATTAAAGAGAGAGAACAGCTTGCTAAATTTCCTGCCTCCCTTCCCAGTCTTCATTGCCTATAATTGTACATGTTTTGTGTATTTTGCAAACAGTTGATAACTGTGTTCACTCCTTTAAGGTTGTTTATTGCTGCATGGACAGAACCAAAGAAAACATGAAAAATGTGTGGTTTATATAGACATTATCTTTATTTCTTTTGATAGGCTGTGGCAAATGAGTCTGGACTGAACTTTATATCTGTGAAAGGTCCCGAGCTGCTAAATATGGTATGCATTAATCATTGTGCTTTTGTTATTTACGGAATTCTTGTCCAAAGCATGGGGCAAGCAAAGTTCCTGGTAATTACACAGCTGATACTGGTGCAACTGAGGTTGCCTCATCTAACCTCTGCTTAAAGTTTTTGGCTTTTTGCTTTACACATGAACAACTTCACTGCTATCTGGGTAGATTTAAATATGTTTCTCGGTTTAAATTACATGGCAGATGGAGCCTCCTTGATTGAAGTAGGATTTCTAAATGACCAACTACATCCATCATCGCTTTATGCAGATCTGGAAAAATAACAACATTTCAAATCTACAGTGAGAACAGCTCATGATCAGGAACTTTTTTGTTCCCTACCGTCAGTCCCCCTGTCTTCAAACAACTACTGTATGAACTTCATATGTTCATTGTGTTCAGATTGCTCACTGGGTTTGTCTGTGAACAGCTGAAGAACAACAGGGCCTTTAATGAAGATTGTATTTGTGAATCATAGAATCATTTATGTTGGAAAAGACTTGTAAGATCATAACTGACTGCCAAGTCTACCACTAAGCCCCATGTCCGCAAGTGCCACGTCTTAAATACCTCCAGGGATGGTGATTCCACCACTGCCCTGGGCAGCCTGTTCCAATGCTTAACGACCCTTTCTGTGAATAAATTTTTCCCAATATCCAGTCTAAACCTCCCCTGGTGCAACTTCAGGCAATTTCCTCTTGTCCTACAGCTTGTTACTTGGGGAAAAGAGACTGACTCCCACCTCACTACAGCCTCAGTTCCCTTAGCTGTTCTTCATGAGACTTGCGCTCCAAACCAGCTTTGTTGCTGAACTTTGGACATGTTCCAGCTCCTCAGATGTCTCCTCTGTAGTGAGGGGCCCAGAACTGAACACAGTATTTGAGGTGCGGCCTCAACAGTGCTAAGTATAGGGGGATGATCACTTCCCTGGCCCTGCTGGCCACGTTACTCTCATCAGCAGATTCATGGCAAGTTAGGTTTATTCCCCAAAGAGTAGAGAAATAAAAAAGTTTAAACTCTGAATGTACTGCAAACTGTCATAAGTGAGCTAGGGACAGTTCCTAAGTAAATCTTGCTCAGTAAGGACATAGAAACAGACTGTTACTGAAGTAAACTGGTTAGCAAGTTGCACTTCTCCCTTGCAAAGCACCTCAAATACTGTTTAAAACTGATTTTTTAGCTTATTTTGTTTTAAATCAAAATCTTCACGTCTGAAGTTGTTTCACTGTGATTTGTCTTTTGTTCTAGTATGTTGGTGAAAGCGAACGTGCTGTCCGTCAGGTATTCCAGCGTGCCAGGAATTCAGCCCCGTGTGTTATATTCTTTGATGAAGTTGATGCTTTGTGCCCTCGCAGGTCTGACCGTGAAGTGAGTCTGTTGTAAAATATCTCCATAAATGTATTACCTCAGTTTCAGGTTTTGTGGCATTGTGTTAGCAACATAAGCAACCAGAAGGATGCTACATTCAGTATCTCTCAAGAAAAGCAATCCAAGAGGCTTTCTCATTGTTGAGGAAAAATGTATTGGTCAAATTTTATGAAGCTTAATTTCTTTCTTTTACTATGCATATATAGAGAAAAATTACCTAGAGAACGTGTCTGTATCTACCAAGTTGGCCGTGCAGAGCAGCAGGAGAAGACGAAGTGTAGTTCAGTATCATGTTTCATTTATGGCCAAATCTGATACCTGTATGCAACTGTAATGCTTGCGTGAAGTTTGTACTTATTTGAACAACATGAACTGGGTCATGAAAATACCCGAGGCAGGAGTGTAAATGGAATGCATTAGACTTCAGAGCTATTCCACGTCTGAGGTTTTCTCTATTAAGCACTCAAACCATATTAGTAGAATTTAACTTAATTAGAATTGAATGCTAAGATGATAAAAATAGTAGAAATCCAGAATACAGCTGCGTTGAAGGTGTGAGAAACTGAGTAGTGTTTTGGGACAGAGATTTTGTTTCTTTTGCTTTGAAATATTCATATTCCCACTGTATTCTCAATTTTGTTAACGCATTTCTCCATTTAAAGTCAGGAGCCAGTGTCCGAGTAGTTAACCAGTTACTCACAGAGATGGATGGTCTGGAGAATCGTCAGCAGGTTTTCATTATGGCTGCCACAAACAGGCCAGGTAAGGACCCAAAAATCATAAACAAGAGAAATCAGAACTCTTAGGTTCTCTTTAAGGAAATCATGCGTTCTTACGTATTTGAATTCTACAACTAACCTTGTTCTGACTTTAAAATTACAATGTCTCTTCAAATCCAAATCTTTCCTGATCAGTTAATCTGTTCCACATTCTTGTGACAGTGTAAGATGAAGGAACCTCACTCAAATGCATCTTACTTAGTATCTGTTATCATTGCTATAAAATGCTTTAAAAGACCTTTGGCCTATTGGACTTGGATTATCTTCTTGGAACATAACATTCTAACTAAAACATGAATTTTGTATTTTTTGCTGCTTAAATTGATTTTTTTTTTTTTTTAATCTCGTACAACCTTACAGTCTTTTGTTTTAATTTTTGTTTGCCTTGAGGGACCTGTCTCATGTTAAATCATTTTCCCTTTTGCCTATCTTTTGCTTCTTGGGCTTCATGTTCTGAACTTGGTTTCCCCCTTGAGTTCTTTGCATCATGGCAGACCTTCTACGTGGTGACATATTATCAGAAAATGCTTAAATCTGTATCTGCTTGTAGATCATCTAGTTCCAACTCCCTGCTGTGGGCAGGGACACCTTCCACTAATGAGGGTTGAACTAGTATTTGAAGGAAGCTGAAGGAGATTTGTAAGGCAAATTGCAATCAGCAATGTATTACTGGCCAGTGACATTGATGAAAAAAGTGAATTTGAGGTTAAAATGCCAAACATAAAGAAAATTCAAAGGCAGGGATAACAAATCTGATAACCAAATGAAAGTGTGTATCTACGAATTCTATAAATAGAAATGAATTCTATCTTGATAAAGGAGTTGTTTTGCCAACATGATAAAACATCTGTTTTCTGAACAGCAGAGCCTGGCACATCTGGTTTTTGTTAGAGGAGGCAATTATCTTTGCAGTTTGGATGAGTATCTGGCTTCAGAAAGATGTCAGCTGTGAATAACGCCTAGGATACGTTTAGACTACAGGCTTCTGCTGTGATGCCTGTATTGCGAAGAAACATAACTTCTAGTTGATGCAGCTTTATCAGAGCAATTTTTTCTTTGGTGCAGTTTATTCACCATTTATTGGTCTTCTGAAGAGGCAGTGTTCACCAAATTAAACTCTACTAGCATGGTTTAGGTGCCTAATAGGAGCACGCTGCAAATAGAGAACACTGAGGTTCATGCTAGTAAAGCAGTCTTACCACCCTAAGAATGAAATGTTCAAGCAGAGACCTGAAGGAGAAACATTGCTTATATTGACTAGTATATTTAAATAAATCCCACAAAGAAAGTTGGGGCGTCTGGAAAGCTCTTTTGCTTGGAAGTCTGACATGGTTATGAAAGATTTTTCTGTCATATTTGTGTGCAGTAATGGAGCTGGGGGGTTGTAATGTAAATCTGAATAATATATGTGTCCCAGCGGATCCTTCCACTGGATCTCTATTGTGAACTGTGAGATCTCATCTTTTTTTAATCCATGTTAATGGGAGAGAAAATGGCTTTTTAAGCTGCTGCTTTTTTAGTGTGGTTGCATGCATGTTAGCTTTTACAGTTGGTTGCTGGTGCTGTTCATGGCGTAGTATATGTTGTCAGTATTGTAGCCTCAGAGACCACTATGCCAAAAGAAGATCCTTCTCTCATAAAAATATTACTGTTATTATAAAGAATAACAGTACTAGCAGCAGGGTAGCAGTTGTGGCATCAAGCTATGTTCCTGGTGCAGCTGTTCCAGTGAGATGCTAGTACCTGTGACAAGGGATTATTGTGACATGGTGGTGGTTTATAGACCCCATGGCTGAAGACTGCCAAATTCTTTTTTTCTACTGGCTTTTAAGGACTTGGAACACTCTAATTTCCATCTTTACAAAAGGGCAGACACAGTAGATTGCATATGGTAAACAAAGGAACCAATCTGCAAGTGGTAATTCTTCTTCTGAAATAAGTCTTTGATCTACCCTAAAAAGTAGGATATTTGACTGTTTTTTGCACTTACTCGGTGACTTTGAAAGTCCTCTGTGGACCTTTCTTGACTACTGCTAAATTAGCAGGGATGCAGTATTCCCAACTCAATCTCTTTCCACCTAAATGCAGAACCAATGTTAAACTTCGTCTGAAGAGGATTAAACTTTTAAAGCACTCAATGTCATTAAAAAGAGAGAGAAGAAAAAAGAGGAATGTCATGTCCTCTTAGAAGCTTTACGGGTCAGAATATTACATTCTTTTTCAGTCTACTCCTTTCCCCAAATCCAAGACTAGTGATTTACAAAACCATCAAGCACAACTAAGGTCTGTAATTTGCCACAATTTCCTAGTTACCAGTGTGAGCTTCACTGTTGGATACTGCTGCTTTCTGCTCTTTTTTTACTTCGCCAGGCTTCAAAGATTTACAAACTCTAATTTAGAGAATTGCTGCGTTTATGTAGGATCTAAGGAACTTTATGTAACCTGAGAAAACATCAAGAAATCAGTAAAATGCTACAAAGTGATAGTGATTTAAGCTTGATGTAAATGCTGATGCTGTCTTTGCTTTTATTTATGGTCTTTTTCTCTAGCTTTTTGTAATGAATTCCTGCAGGAATTCCCATGTGAGTTCTATTTTTCTTTAGCAAGTTTGTTAGTTTTCTAGAGCCAGTCACCTGAATCACATGTTTTGAAACACAGTAGAAAACTAATCTTCAGCCTCCGATAATGGTTCCAGTTTTGGTTTGGGGTTTTTTTGTTTGTTATGATTATATCTGTTTATACGTGTTCTGGAATGAAAGGCAAGATAAGATCTAAAAAAAGCACCTAATATGTGAGGCATGGAACAGTTTCTTTCATAATAGCTCCAATTCACACAAATTACATTTCTGCATTTCACCAGCCTTTAAACATTATGTATCTTTCACAGTAATTTTAGGGGAGTTCGTTTGTTGTGTAGGAGCAAAATTGTTAACTGCAGAGTTCATCTAGAGTCTTAGAGAATCTTTCAGGGCTTCTGGAACCTTTCTGAGCTCCAGAATGTCACAAATGTGAGGACCTAGGTCTTGTATATGTCAAATCATAGAATCATATCATAGAATAGTTGGGATTGGAAAGGACCTTAAGATCATCCAGTTCCAACACCCTGCCATGAGCAGGGACAACTCACACTAGACCATGTCACCCAAGGCTCTGTCCAGCCTGTCCTTAAACACTCCCAGGGATGGAGCATTTACCACTTCTTTGGCCAAACAGTGCCAGGGCCTCACCACCCTCACAGTAAGGAACAACTTCCTTATAATCTTAGAAGCTGTAGTGACTATAGCAGAAGTTTGATGGATTCTGGTGTATGCACAGAATTTTGTAAACATTTTTGACCCTTGCACAGTTCAGATAAAATATGAATAATCAACTGGAAATGAGTGTGAGACTACCAGATTTTATTATAGGACAATAGAATGTCATAGAATCATAGAATGGTTAGGGTTGGAAAGGACCTTAAGATCATCTAGTTTCAACCCCCCTGCCATGGGCAGGGACACCTTGCTCTAAACCATTGCACCCAAGGCTTTGTCCAACCTGGCCTTAAGCACCGCCAGGGATGGAGCATTCACAGCCTCCCTGGGCAACCCATTCCAGTGCCTCACCACCCTAACAGGAAAGAACTTCCTCCCTTATATCCAGTCTAAACTTCCCCTGTTTCAGTTTTAACCCATTACCCCTTGTCCTATCACTACAGTCCCTAATGAAGAGTCCATCCCCAGCATCCCTATAGGCCCCCTTCAGGTACTGGAAGGCTGCTATGAGGTCTCCACGCAGCCTTCTCTTCTCCAGGCTGAACAGCCCCAACTTTCTCAGCCTGTCTTCATATGGGAGGTGCTCCAGTCCCCTGATCATTCCCGTGGCCTCCTCTGGACTTGTTCCGACAGATCCATGTCCTTTTTATATTGAGGACACCAGAACTGTACACAATACTCCAAGTGAGGTCTCACAAGAGCAAAGGGGCAGGATCACCTCCTTCGACCTGCTGGTCACACTCCTTTTGATGCAGCCCAGGATATGGTTGGCTTTCTGGGCTGGAAGCGCACACTGAAGCCGGCTCATGTTCATTTTCTCATTGACCAGCACCCCCAAGTCCTTCTCCACAGGGCTGCTCTGAATCTCTTCTCTGCCCAGCCTGCAGCTGTGCCTGGGATTGCTCCCACCCAGGTGTAGGACCTTGCACTTGGCATGGTTAAACTTCATGAGGTTGGCATCAGCCCACCTCACAAGCGTGTCAAGGTCCCTCTGGATGGCATTCCTTCCCTCCAGCGTATCAACCGAACCACACAGCTTGGTGTCATCGGCAAACTGGCTGAGGGCACACTCAATCCCACTGTCCATGTCAGTGACGAAGATGTTGAACAAGACCGGTCCCAACCCCGATCCCTGAGGGACACCACTCATTACTGGTCTCCAGATGGACATTGAGCCATTGACCACAACTCTTCGTGTGCAGCCATCCAGCCAGTTCTTTATCCACCGAGTGGTCCATCCATCAAATTGATGCCTCTCCAATTTAGAGACAAGGATGTCACATGGGACCGTGTCGAATGCTTTGCACAAGTCCAGGCAGATGACATCAACTGCTCTGCCCCTGTCCCTCAGTTCCGTAGCCCCATCATAGAAGGCCACCAAATTGGTCAGGCAGGATTTCCCCTTGGTGAAGCCATGCTGGCTGTCACCAAGCACCTTGCTGGCTTTCATGTGCATTAGCATGCTTGCCAGGAGAATCTGCTCCAAGATTTTGCCAGGCACAGAGGTCAAAGGATTCATGCAAAAATACCTTCAATAGAATTTAATGAAGAGGATAACATTTTGCAGTAGTTTGGAGAGCAGTATAGCAAACTGAAATACTACATCATTCTCTAGAGGCTAGTGCCTGTTCTAACCTTTAAAAACAAATCAAGGAATGGAGGTACTCTAAATGTCTTACATACTTCTGCCAAATTATTTGGAAAATAGTACTACTGTTTTCTAATGACATAGTCATCACTGTTGACTACATCAGAAAACCAAGATGGAAAGTTACTAGGCATTTCTCAATAGAAGTATATTCTGTCTGTGAGACAACTGCTTCGAAGAGAAGTGCTGTGTGTTAGCACGTTTCCGTGTTTCACTTTCAAACTTGAGAGGTAATAACAGGCTTTGAAACAGGTGTCTATGATAACCACCTTCCTTTCATTAAAATGTTAAATGTATCTAGAATTAGTTGACTCTCTTTGTTTAGGTAAGTTTCAAGATAATAGGTATGGAGAGAATTTCCTGATTTATCAGGACGGAATGCTTTGAAATTCCTAAAAGGAGAGCATTATTCAATTCCTTTAAACAGATATGAAGGGCATCTAATGAGTGGGTTTGCCCAGTGAGTAAATACTCATTTTCTGTGTTATGTGACTTGAATTTTCAAGAACTTCAGGCCCAGGTTAGAGTGAGCAGAATTAAGTGAATTCCCTCATAAGGAGGTGGGGAGTGTAGACCCTTGTTTTCAACTTTGGTATGGTCTTCTCAGCATAAACCACCGTTTCTGTAACATACGGAGTTAGCATGTGTTGTTGTAACTCTTTGAAGGTGGGCAGTGTAATCACTCACATACATATGGATGAATGCATCTTTAGACTGTATCATTAACTTGATATCATTGTGCCATGTTCTCAGTGTGCAAAATGGAAATAGCTTTTTCCATATCAAGCTTAGTATTTTTAAAGAGCTTTTGAAACTTCAAATGGGGAAGTTTTCAAGTGCATGGTGGTGTAATGCAATCCCTATGGAGAGTGTTTGTTTTCATTGTTGTAATAGATCTGTTGAGTGAACTTTGTCATCTGACCTCAATAATGTGGCAAGACTTCTGTCCACAGGCACACAAAAACAGGAAAGTGCAGTTGTGCCAAAAGCAAGATAAAATATCATATAGCACTGTACACAGACATATAAGAAAGGTATTAGATCCCATGGCAGGGATTCTGCTTAATTCTTGTTTCATCCGATCTGGATTAAATTAATACATCAAGTTCTTCCTTTTTTTCCCTCACCATCTGCAATAGCTGATTTTTGCCTACATAGATGCCTCTGGCCATGCCTGGTGTGTCTTGGGGGAAAAAATGCTTTTGTCCAAGAAAAAGATAGTTGAGCAGGTTTTATGTATGCATCTCATTTTACCTTTTGTCCTTTAAGCATAGGTGAGAGAGTAACTTGAACAGAACTATACACATCTTTAAAAAGTGAATCAAGACTACATTGTGGTAGATCAGGTAGTAGGACTCTTCACAGCGCTAAGCAAACTCTGCTTTCAGCTCTCTTGGCTTTAAACTGTCAGAGGGGAGGGTTAGGTTAGGTATTAGGAAGAAGTTCTTCCCTGTGATGGTGCAGAGGCACTGGCACAGGGTGCCCAGAGAAGCTGTGGCTGCACCATCCCTGGCAGTGTTCAAGGCCAGGTTGGACGGGGCCTGGAGCACCTTGCTCTAGTGGAAGGTGTCCCTGCATGTGGCAGAGGGTTGGAACTGGATGAGCTTTAAGGTCCCTTCCAACACAAACCAGTCTGGGAGTCTATGAAACTGTTTTCATTTGCCAAGAAGGGATAGCTATGCTTCCATGCTACTGTTTGGGGGCTTGGCTAGTGTTTTCTTTCCTTTAAACATCTGTATAGTAAGTATTAACTGCTTAACTTTTACCAGTTCTTCACGTTTAATATGAATGCATGTAGTTTGTGTGTTAGCAACATTTTGCCAAGAGAACATAACAAACTTGAAGCATTTTTTCTCCTTGTTGTGAATTAATGTGGAACTCCTCACTCAATCATGCTAGATATGACAGTAAACATGTTCTAGTACTATAATGACAAGGTAGAGTTGTTTTCATTTGTGAAGAGATGAAGCTGGTATTTATAAGCCATCTATGAGAGATGCAGCTTTACTGTTCTGGGTAATAGAGGCTCCTACTTGACAGAGATGAAACTATTTCAATCAGCTATTTTAATGCTCAGGGCTTCAAATCATGGCACAAATTTTGCCTTCTGTGAATCTCAATACAAGTATTGATATATTGCTTCTCATGTGTACACTTTCCTGAGCATGTATTTCATTTCTGGGTATCGTTTTCTTCTTTCCCCCTCCCTAAGATATAATTGACCCAGCTATCCTGCGCCCAGGTCGACTGGATAAAACACTGTACGTGGGTTTGCCACCACCTGAAGATCGACTTGCTATTTTAAAGACCATCACCAAAGTGAGTATTTGGAAATAAATCCTTATCTCAAAGCTTGGTGGAATGATTTAAGACAAAGTGACATTTTACAGAGAATTGCAGGATCCTGTCTCAGGAAACACTTGCAGATATTACACGAGGTCATAAAAATAAGCCATCGGTTGCATCTGCTGTTAAAATTGCTCTGAGCTGATAAATCTTGAGTAAAGCAAACCTGGTAAACATAGAAGCTGCTGCCTTAACAGTTACAATTTGAACAGATTTAATGAAAAGATTCCTATCTCTGTGAGTAATGGCCCTAGAAGCGTTTGCAAACTTTTTTTGGGGGGGTTCCACACCTTCAACCAGGATGATTCACAAGCTCCAGCTGAATTTGCTCAACAGCAATTGTGCCACTTAATTGCCTTTAGGATTAAAGGAATCTTGTGATGATAAAGGTTGTGGGTCAAAGTAAAAGTGAAAATGTGAAATATCGTGGGTCCTCCCTGGGGTTAATGGCACATTCTGCCACTTTGGAGATGTGGATTATAGAATTCTAAGAAAGAAGTTCTTTACTGTGAGGGTGCTGAGGCACTGGAATGGGTTGCCCAAGCAAGCTGTGAATGCTCCATTCCTGGCAGCGTTTAAGACCAGGTTGGACAGAGTCTTGAGTGACATGATGTAGTGTGAGGCATCTCTGCCCATGGCAGGGGGGTTGGAACTGGATGAGCTTTAAGGTCTCTTCCAACCCAACCCATTCTATGATTCTCTAAGTATTACAGCAGTAATCAAGGCCTGTAAAAAAGAACATGGAAATCATTATGAATTACTTCGATATTTTCTACTTCTTCCAGTAGATCAGCAGAATTGGTTGTTAAAAGCAGGTATTCCATCTGATTTTATGGGTGTTTGTGTGAGCTGCAGAGGAGACCAGGTCTTCACTCTAAGGAAAGCTAGCACTGGATTATGAAGAGTGTGGCAAAAATTACTTAGCAACTTTGTAAAAAAGATAATTCAGACTCATGTAAGCATAAAGTTGTGGTATAGGCAATAGTTAATCCCTTAGGAGAATTCACGTAGTGAGAACTCATTCAAGCATGTTCCTTCATGCCAAAATAGTTGTTCCAGAAGTCAGACTCCTGTTACAAATTCAGGGTGTTAGCCTTTCCTTCATTTGTACTTCATGGAGGAAAAAGAAGTATGCCCCTATTTGCTGTTAGCTCTAAATCAGTTAATTGTTTCTATGTATTATGAAGATATTTCAGTTGAAACTTTTTACAGCCTTCTTCTTAAAGATGGTTGCCTTTTGAAAGACCTAAAGAGAATCTGAGTGTAACATCCCTGAATCATTTTTCAATCATACCATAAGGAATGATGGTTTTTATTTTACCATATTTATTTTTAAAGGTAACTCAATGTGTTTTTTAAAAAATGGGTATATATGATTGTTCTGCCTTAAAAGAAACAACCCTGTTCTTCTGGAAGAAGTGGGTTGTAAGGGTCAGTCAGTCACTAGACTATCTAAACAGAGCAGAAAGCTTCTGGTACAGACTCTGCTCTGGTGTGTAACATGCAGGTCTTGCTCTCCCTAATTTTTGCTGGACAATCTTTGGAGATTTATAGGCTCTCAGGTGCTCTCACTGTAATCAGAGGTGTGGGGAAATAGTGCAGTAAAGCTTGGTGCAAGACTGCCTGGGAGAGGAAGGAGGCATTAAACAAAACTGGTTTCTTTCATTCTCTCATCAACTTCACCTGCTCACACTCTCACAGCCACATAGTCACCAAGGTCCATGCATCTATGTGGGTAAGGCCAGGATCACTTGGGTGCTATACTGAGCATAAGGAATTCTGTGTTGTCCTCACTCATCTCTTGGCTTCCTCCTGACTGGCAGTGGCAAATAGTTGCTAGAAGTGTTTTCTAGATTCCCTTTAAGAACCAAACAGTTCAAATTGTGCTTACTTCAGCTGCCATAAATCTTGGGCGAGGTTGCTGAAAAGTGTCTTTGCTCTCTACTCCTGGTAATGACACTGGCTACAGCCTGAATTTTAGGATCACACCAGGAGGAGTGGCCCATGGGATGTGGTAACCTTGTTATCCTGTTACCAGAGCGTATTTCTGCTGACAAGCCATCTTTACTGTGGCCTTATCTGAACATGTGCCTTCTTGTGATACAGGCAACACATTGCATAGTGTTTACCAGCTTGGTTCCTGTGGATCCTGTTGTTGGTTATCAGGGCATGTTATTTTTGGAATGCCAGATACTTCCATGCATACTGAGTTCATACCACTCTTAATTTGATTACAAATCTTTGTAGTGATTGAGATGTCAAGTTGTTGATGGATTATTTTTCCTCATTTCTTAATTAAGAGGCCAGCAGAAATGAGATAAAGCACTCTCTGAATGAGTCTGTGTTTCTATGTCCATTCCATGAGGAGGCTGAGGCTGTTCTCCCTTTACTTCTGCAGTCCCCAGAGGTCTCATAAAGCTAGCCAGAGATTTGTTATTGCTAGTGTTAAGAACAAGACATAGGTTGTTATATCTTTAAAAATGTATAGGAGTTACCTACAATAACAACGTGGAATATGGAGAGAGAAAAAGATGTTAAATTAATCGAAATACCTTGGGTTTGGTCAGGTCTCATCCATGCCTTCTAAGTAAGGAAATCTGAGTACAGGAACACTTGCTTAAATATGAGGTCAGGGCTAGATGAACCCAAATGTTTGGTGCAGATGTGATGGTGACCATATGCATTCCCAGAAATCCCTGAGGAATACATGCACAGGATGTGGAAACTGAGAATCGTTGCTGAGGGAAAACATGGATTCTTACAAAAGCAGCACTGAGGAGTAGAGAAGGAAGTAAAGGGGAGGTGTTGGTTATAAGGCACCCAGCCTAAATGTGGGTTGAAGCCTTGTTGTGAAATGAGAGAGTTCTATTTCAGTTAACTTGTACAAATCAGGCATTTTCAAATTGCATATTAATTATGCAAGAGAAGCATGTCTTCACACGTTTCAGTTACTGGTGTTAGTTACATTCCTGGAAGCTTGTATCAAGCTTCTCTGGTGCACGTACTACTGAGCTTGTCTCCAAAGAAGGCAGAACAAACCCCTCAGACAATGCCCAGCATATGTTTGCTACTCAAAGCAATAGGTAAAACATTTCTCTTCAGCAGAGGTGGTGTCTGGCTTGCGGTCTTGTACAATTACTACAGTATCCCATATCAAATTGTAGGAGGCTTCCTTGCTTCCAGGTTGAAGTAAGGATGTTGAAACATTTCAAGATGTTTCAAAATCAGGCTGTTCCTTTGTTTCTTTTGGGTTGTTTTCCACCCCCTCTTTCCTGACTGGTATTCTGCCAAAGATTCATTCCGGATTGTTCCCATACTCAGCAATCAGTAAGAACTGCAAGGACTTGTGATTATTCTACTGTCTGTTACGTATCCCAGGGGTTTAAGTTGCCAGTTGCTATACATCTTGGTTTTTTTCCTTGTTGGAGGTACTGTAGGTATGTAGTAGTTCACCTGAAGAAGTCAGAAACGAATTACATGAATGTGTGCATTTCTGTCAACTGATTTTCTGGCAGAAATGTATCAGTTGTATCAAAAAGCGTCCTTTCCTGTCTAAACTCAGGTAGTGTTTGATATTGTAGACATCTGGAATCTCTGTACTACCACGGTACTCCCTAACTCTTGTCTAAGGGTAACAGATCTCCGCTTACAGTGTTTGACAACTTAGTTGGCTAGTTTCAACAAATAATTTATAATGTTGGTCAATAGTTTTTGCTGTTGGGGATGCAAAAATAATAACAGAGGAAACCACTTCTGGGATTTTTGTGGAGCAAGCAGTAATGATACGGAAGAGTAGTGTCAGTCTACGGGACTGGCTACAGTATGTGTAATCTTTCATGAAATCCAGAATGGAAACCTTCTACGTTTGAAAACACATGTGTAGAAATAAAAGATGAACTAGTTCAGTCTTCAAGGTGATAAGACTAAATCTACATGCTTATTGCTTAAGTGTTTGATTTCAACACATAGTAAAACTAGAAGTTCAGCTAAGCAATGCTGTGGATGTAACCGGTTCCATAAGACACGTTTCCATCTGGAACAGTGTCAGTGTTGCATTGCCCTGTGACAGGCTGGCCATCATTTTCTTAGGGAAAGTCTAATCTGTTGGTGGGAAGTTTAAAATGTAGCATTATTTAATATTTTATAATGAAATGTTTTTAAGGCTGCTTGTCCTTCTTGTGGGTTTGAGATTAAAAGCATTAATATATGTAGATATTTCAGGGACTGTTTCAGAGCCCTGTGTGATTTCTGATAGATGAAACTCAGTAATTTTGAGGGTAGCACATGTAAAAAATAGTGGTTTCTTATCTTCCTATTATCTCATCCCTTCAGGATGGCACCCGGCCTCCACTAGATACTGATGTAAGCCTTGAAGAAATAGCTTACAGTCAACATTGTGATTGTTATACGTGAGTAGCTTCTAGTTTTGACTTTAATATTTAATATGCAGTGCCAAAGGTCTTCTGATGTGTAATAATGTGTGTTATGTTGCTATTATTAAGATAATGTCTTAACTTTCAGGGTTTATAAACCTTCTCCCTTACACTACTTTTCTTGCTTTCAGTTAGGCTTTTTCCCAAGGAGTGTGTGGGAGTATATGGATCCTAAGGTCTCTTTCATCTGGAATAGTCCTCCTCATGTTGTAAATACAGATAAGCAGAGGCCTCTTGGTTTTGCCTGGCTTTATTTTCTCATCTTGCATAATCTGAGGATAAAAGAGCCCTCTAAGCTGTGGACCCATATACAGTGATGATGGAAAGCAAATTGGTTTAGCAAGCATAACCACCTCTTGTCACAGAGTTGAAAGCGTTGTGCTTGACAAACCAGTGAGGGCCTATTTCAACTTGTGCTTTGGGAATACCAAGCATCTGTTTTAGGAAAGCTCAATAGCCATATGTGTCAGAATAATGTGTAGTTGCATTCTACAAAACTTCAGAAAGCTTTAATCTATTAAATGACTTATTAATAGTTAATGATTTTCTGGAGTACATGGGGCCTATAGGGATGCTGGGGAGGGACTCTTCATTAGGGACTGTAGTGATAGGACAAGGGGTAATGGGTTAAAACTTACACAGGGGAAGTTTAGATTGGATATAAGGAGGAAATTCTTTCCTGTTAGGGTGGTGAGGCACTGAAATGTGTTATCCAGGGAGGTTGTGAATGCTCCATCCCTGGCAGTGTTCAAGGCCAGGTTGGACGAGGCCTTGGGTGATATGGTTTAGAGTGAGGTGTCCCTGCCCATGGCAGGGGGTTGGAACTTGATGATCTTAAGGTCCTTTCCAACCCTAACCATTCTATTCTATGATTCTAAGGCAAAGTTGCTTGTCACAACATTACTTTTGAATTTGAGGAATGGAGGCTATCATCAGTAATGATTTCTAGTTTGTCATTGTCTCATACTTGGGAAAGATCAGTACCTTTCTCTGCCCCTTTCATTCACTGTCATTTGGGGGGGTGTTTGGTTGTGGGGAGTTTTTTGTTTGGGATTTATGGTGGGTTTTGATTGCCTTGGCATTTTTTTCTTTGGTTTTATGTTTGAGGTTTGTTGTTGGGGGTTGGTTGTGGGGGTTAGTTTCATTATTTTAATACAGCAGCATTTCTGGTACCCACAAATGAACCGTGGGGAGTTAACTGAGAATTGTCTTCGGTTCAGTGACTTGCACCAGTTTAAAGGCTTGTGAAAAGCTGAACAGCTGGAAACTAGAAGCAAATCTTTAGAAAGATTGATCTGATCCTGTTTTCTTGATACTGTTATTTTATGAGCATATTAACTGTCGATGCAGCTTTGAGCAAGGCAACTCCCTTTTGTAATAATGGGTGGTTACATTTGAATCTTTCACAAGCTTGATAGGAAAAAAAATATGTATCATGTTCCCACTAAATGGCAAAGTATTAATCAATCCTTTGGCATTTTTAAGGCTGCTAAATGGGGGTTTTGTTGCTTCCCTTCCTTCCCATGTATTTGATCTTAATCTATGGTTAGGATCTGGAGGATGTCACTCCATAATGAAGGCTGCAGCACTGCGTAGCTCTTGTTCCTCTTTCCAGTGTTCTGAAGATTATTCTTCATGACAGCATAAGCAGTCTGTTACCATGATCTGTAGTGTTTTGCCTTTCTGTATGCTGTCAGCAAAAGACAAGAGGGTTTATCCTACAATAACCTATTGTGTTTGTATCTGTAGAGGAGCAGACCTTTCCGCTCTGGTGCGTGAGGCTTCAGTTTGCGCCTTAAGACAGGAAATGGCCCTGCAGAATACTCAAAGCAAGAAAGGTAAGCAAGCTTTACAGAAATCTTAACTGAATATGGAGATGAATGGACTATAAAGTATTTAAGGTCGTTCAAGACAAGCACAAAGGCTGAGCCAAACAAAAATTGTCAGATTTGTTTCAAGAACACATAAGCATCTTTGAAGTAATTGCAGGGGAGAGTATAGGAAAAAACGGATATGCTGCAGGTTCAGCATATTTTCTTCCTAAAAGAACTGAGCCTTATAATCCTAAAGAAAACCTTATGTTAAATAGTAGTAGTATAATAGTGTGTCTGTATATGTATAGACATACTATTGTAGCAGTATAAACTGACAATTCATATACTAGACTGGATACACCTTTGCCAAATTTCCACAGTACCATCAAAGACTAATTATACTGACTTATTTGCAGATTTGAGTCCATTTTTAACTGCAGACATACTGATCGTATGCCTTTGGCATTCAATTGTGTTGTTTAACTGAATACTTGCATCTAGTGTACTGGTGCTTGGAAAATCTGAGTGCCATGTTTCATCTTAGGTGTTGAGCTTGTCAGGACCTCTTGCAGGACTTTAACAGGGAATTATAAATAGTTTCAAGTACAATGTCTGCCTTTTCCATATCTCTGCAATTTTAGGTTTCATTTTCTTGGTTTTTAATTTTTTTTTCTATACAGATAGGAAAATGTAATTGGAAATTGAAGCTCTTGTATATAAAATGTGCATCTGTAGAGATTTGTTTTTCCAGTAATTTTGCTTGTTACTTTACCTTTAAGTCAAAATGCAAAGCTAAGATGGAATTGTGACTTTTCACATTATGTCCTTCGAAAACATATTAGACATCAGAGGCATAATGAAAGCCTAAGAACCATGCTGGAATTTTGATGGCTTTGATTCATTCTGTTTGATCTAGTAAATATCCGGTCTCATCTGGTTTTTAACAGCAGTAGGTTAGCAGAGCAGACTGTTTGCATTTCTTGTTTTGAGGGAACTAGTGTGTTGGTTTAGAGTGGGGGAAAAAAAAGCAAGTAGGAGAGCTTTCATGGTTGTGTGGCTTGGATACCCATTTTGTTTACTGTAGATGATAAAAGCTTCTGATTTGAGATGGAACTTTCTGAGCTTATCCGGTTTGGTTTACAAGCAGGCTTATAAAATACAGCAGGCTTGAATCTATCAGAGACATTCATCACTTGAATTCAGTGTCCACAATTAGGATTGCAGCCTGAGCGCTTACTATATGGATGTGTAGGCAGCCAGCAAGTCTGTCATAGATGCCTAGCTTGATCTGCATGTTTATAGCAGCTGCGTATTTGGGATGTCCTTGGGTTTGGATTTCCAAGCTGTCAGCCCTGGCTGGTGGTTTTGTTCATTTGTATCTTCAAAAGGGTATTATGTGTGCACAGAGGGGAGAATTTCTTCCTTCAGTGTTACAAGTGCCTCCCCTCCCATCCTCTGTGCATGACTGTAGATGAATGATGTGGGTCCTTACCAGTCAGTAGTTCAGCATCACCTGGCTGAGATCAGTGCTGCTACTTTCTGTTCTGTAGAAACTCTGTGGCAACTTCCTGGTTATGCCTGGTGTTCTCCTTCTAGATCAGTTCAGGGTTGTGGGGTGTTTTTAACACTCAGCAGTGGTTTGCTTGAAGCAACTTGTTTACAGTGAAATGGAAATGTATCCTTTTTGTGATATTTTTCACAAGAATCCATAGATTGTACATCCAACTTGAACAGCTGACGAGGTGGGTCACTGCAGTCTGGGAATTGCCAGATATTGCAGCTTAGTGTAAAAGAGGGGGGAATCCTAACAACAGTCAGTCAGACTTTCAGTTTAGAGTCATGCTGGAGTTTTTCATCACTGGTCCAGCATGTGACCGCTCAGAAGAGTTCAGTATCACTTGCAAAATTGGCATGTCCACTTCTGGCTCCCTTCCCCAAACCACTGGTCAACATGCTGTATAGAACAGATCTTAGCATCAGTGCCAGAGCAGAACCCTACTGCTGCTTGTTCCCTATCCTGAAGAGTGACCGTTAATCCTTATACTCTATTTCATACCCTTTAATCAGCTTTTAGTCCACCAAAGGATAGGTCCTACAATCCCTTGGAGTTTACCAGTCCTCTGGTGGCTGTAACAAGTTATATGATTTCGCTAGGAGTTCTGCAGTTTCATAGCCAAGTTCCTTCAGCACCTTTGGGTGAACACCACCTGGTCCTCCTGACTTACTGTTAACCTCATACCCGTCCCATTTTAGTTTAATACTTCCTGTATATTATTTCAAATAGATATAGTTACAAAGAACATATAGGGTATGAGGAGTTCTTAATACTTTCAGCTGAAAAGGCAAATTCACTGACCTTCTAAGCTATGACCTTACCCCAGACCTGCCTTTTTGGATATTATAAGATATCCAGTGACCCCACATCACCTGCATAGTCTATAAAGCTGATCTTAAGAAGGAGTGTATGAGACTTCTTGTTAAAGCAGTTAAGAGCGAGTGTGGTTTAACAACTGACATTAAAGTTTTGTATCTTTGGAGTTGAATTTGAAAAGCAAGATCTTGTCCTTGTTTGATACTTTCAAGTTAAGAGGAAAGGGAACCAGCTATCCTTCCTTCACTCATCTATGTAAATAGCTAAAAACAATTTCATATTTGGTTAGGTTATACCTGTTGATGTACTTCATTATTTTATCATTATTTTATCATTAATTTATCAATATAAATTGTTTTAACTGATAAAACACTTATACCTACTTACTCAGACTAAATGGTTTTGTCATCAGAAATCAAGGCAAACTATGTAAAAGTAAGACACCAAGGTATAGATTACTGACAGCTGAATTCTCCATGGGGTCAAGCCTTGTGCCTGTTTTTATCACACAATAAGCATGAAGTAGCCTAACTTACTTTCAGTAAGAGGTAAAACTACTTTACCTAACAGTAGATAGTGTGTTTATGTCTAGCCATAGCTATCAGCAGTTTCACCTTGACCTTTTCTGATAACTATGTCCTTACTGATACCAATAACCTAGTTGCTGAATGCTGTTTATTCCTTTCCTCCCTCCCTATAGCTGAGGCTGTATCCTGTTTCACAATTCGATTAAAGAGTTACAGGCTTAAAAACAAAACTGAAAGCAGAATTAAATTCTCATAGCTTCATTTTGTTATTTTTTGGAGTTTTCATGACTCAATCTTAAATTAATTTGGCTTCTGTGAAAGACCCACACTGAACTTTCTTACTGTAAGTAGGGTTTCCTTGGAAAAATAAGTTGAAATGATGATATTTTTAGTCTACACCTTTATACTGGTATAACGTCATACAGTAATGAGAATCTTGAGTAAGAGCTTCAGAGAACTAAGAAAGAGCAGTAAGGATGTGTGTTTAGTTCAATGAACTTTAACCTTCATCTTTACTTTTTAAGCAGGTAATCGTAATTGTAGACTATTTGGTATTCTGTTTTATACCTTACATAAGCTCTTATTTAATTTAGTGCTTTCCATTCACTGCGTAGTTTTTTGTTGTATCAGCAGATTGTTCTAACTCAGACAAATATATTAATGAGGAGTCCTGACAGTTTTCATGTCAGCACACCCCACTTCACATTACAAAGGTAGTGGCAGTACACATCTGTGCAAACAAAGTCATCATAATGAAACGCATTTAAAATTCACCAGGTTGACTAAGGACATACTTTTTGTACCTTGATCACATCTAGTACCTGGGTATAATATTAGGATTGCAATGAGTCTGTATAGCAATGGTATCTTGGGATTCTTAAGTCTAAACAAAGCACTTGCATGTGAGAGCAGAAGATTCTGTGATTTGAGGTGTGCATATGTTTTAGCATACTAAAAAAAAAACAACCCCAAAAACCTGTTCAGAAGGTTATGATTAGGAATAATTAATGCAGCAATCCACAGTAAGGTCAAAAAGGCAATTTGCATAAACTTAAACACAGTTGTAGAAGTGGAAGCTTGCATCACTTCTGGGTAATGCCGGGCAGTACTATGAAGTCAGTTATTAAGGAATTGAGCATCCTGTAGTAAAGCTGGAATGATAAAATGTTTTCTAGGTACTTATTCGATAGCACTCTGTATGGAAGTTTAATAATAAGTATGTATAGAAAATAGACCCCAGAACTGGAAGCAGCAGGATTTGAGGCACTCGCTTCCAGAAGGGTTGAGGGACTCGAATTCTAACTGGATTTGATGCAAGCTGCTGTTAAGTCAGATCTTTAAAAATGAAACTCTCAGTCTGCAGGCAAAAACTTAAGTAAATACCTAAGAACCTTCTGAAACAAACATTCTTTGGCTTAGGGTGCAGGGGCTAGAGGGATTGAGATCTTGTCTACAATCATAAACAGGAGGCTACGTAAAATTTGTAAGAGGTTCAGGTGGTCTTAACACTGCTGAATTTGATCTCATCCAACTGATGAGCACATGCAGTTGGCTAGGTTCCAGGAATGCTGCCTTGAAATGCACACAATAATAGCTTGATTGTCACTTGGCTGCAGTTTTAACACGTTATTATGCTCTGTTCTCCAAGGAGAAATCAAGATTTCCCGTAAACACTTTGAGGAAGCTTTTAAGAAAGTGAAATCTTCAGTATCAAAAAAGGTAAGATAAGCTTTAGGTATGCAGGACTCCTAACTCCTCTGAGAAGGATACTCTTTATGCTGGAACCTGGTGGGAATGGTAAAGGTTGCAGTATACTTGCATGTATTTCAGACTGACACTATCAGTTCCTGTGTTAAACCTAATGCTCTTTATAAGGTCAGAAATTGAAGTCTCTCCTTTCAGCTGGAGATGATACCTTGCATATAGCTAGATTACCATGCTATCGAGGTTCTATTTTAGTATGGCACCTTGGACTTCTCACTGACATTCCTGGATTAATTATTGACCTGGACCTAACCTCTTAGCTGTGGAATATTCAACTAAAAGCCAAGGCCTTTAGAGTGCTCCACATCTTGCCATCACCTCTTTCCCCCCCAGATGAATGTGACACCCAAAGATGCTCAGTCATTTTTACTGTGCAAAAAAAATCATTTTGAGACAGGACATAAAAGACAAGTGTTTTATCAGTCTTTTCATTGTTTGCATTTGTCAAGGAAGTTTGTTTTAAAAGTCTCCTTATGACATGTTCTTTTCAATGACTGAAAGGAAAGCTGTTCAATCATCTCAGTTACCAGAACTGAGGAGTTTATAGGAATTGTTACAGCTGTAGAGCTCTCCTGGATAGGTCTCTGTGTTGCCAGGAGTGTACTGCAGCCAAAATAAACGAATACAGTCATTCTGAACACCAGCAAGAGAGAAGTTAACTAGTTAACACTTTCTTTTCACTGTTATTGTATGTTGATGGTCATTAACCCTTTCTGAAAGTTAGAAGTGATCTTTGGCAGCAAGGCCCTTTAAAGACAGTACTTGTGGTTTTCTTCCCCTTTGCTAATCACTAAGCAAACAGCTAAGAAGAAACAGCCACAAAAACTTTGAGATGTTTTAACTTAACAATCACTTAGGACATATTCCTTCTGATTAAAAATTGACCAGAAATACAATTCTGCATCTCAAAGGCAGCTTAAATGTCACATCCCAGAGACCAGTTACAGCCATCTGAAGAATCTTTGGTTAGGTATTTTGAAGTACAGTATACTCATCTGCCATTTACAGATGCTACTTCCTACCTGCTAGACAGATTCAGTCTGACAAAAACTCTCCCTCAACACCTTCCTATGAATACTGGAAGGTAAAAGCTGCATCTCACTGATCTAGCGCTTCTAGCTCTTCTTTTCCCTCCTGTACATATCTCTGAGTTCTGTTAGCATGCTTTTGGTTTCATCAGTTCACTCAAATCAAAATAGGTTGTTCTTAAAGCTATGGACAGGCATCACATTCTGAAGTCAGTTATTTCAGTGCAAGTTAACATCTTTAAGTATATTCTGTTACTCACAGTTGTCATTTAAAGTGCCTATTGAAAAGTACGAAGGAACAGTTAAGTTAGAATATCAAAAGAAGATCCTGTCAGTTCACTTTGGCAAAACTAAATTAGAGAGTAAAGTGTCAATTCAGCAGCTCCCCGGAAAGGAAGCAGTAATCTTAGTGAGGCTGTAATTCTGAACCTAACATGGAAATATTAAGAGCTCTTGCCAGAGGCGTCTTATTAATTACACATCATTGGTGACTATCACTGGAGAACCTCATTTATGAGCCAGGGTAGTGGGGTTTTGCCATATTTAGGTTTTTGTTTGCAACTGTTTCGAAATACAGCTAAGTGGGTCATGCAGCTGGTTTGTTTCACTTTAAATAACACATATAAAGTCACTTTTATACAGTGCGTGATTTTTTACCATTGTCTAAAGCTTATTTTTCTTCTCGGCACTGTTAGGATCAAATCATGTATGAAGAACTACGTCTGTCACTGTGCAGGTGATACATTTGGACAATCCCCAAGAAGCTTACTCTGCATTGGTGGAGAGTTTGGCAATACCTGTGCCTGATTTCAAGAGACAGGTTGGAAAGAAACTGTGCTAGATCTCTCTGAAGTTTTTAAACTGTACCTGGAAAAACGTCCTAATGACCTACTGCTCTAAACCATCTTTAACTATGTCCAGATTAAAAAACAGAACACACTTCCTGCTTATGTTTTTAAAAGTGAATGCTTTTAGTGTGAAAGAGCTAATACCACTCCTATATTTGGTGCCCTTAATCAGGAAGCCCTCAGAGACAGAGTGACTAAACATTCCAGTGTTTTCAACCATAAATGAAAATAGCCAAGGTTGCAGGAAGGAAAACTCTTGAAGAATCACTGGGAAGACAGAGCTGGGCAATCAGACTGGGAGAGTGCTGCACTGTGTTACTGTAACATGAATCATGCCTTTTACATATACACTGGCACATTATGACTGTGTTGGCAGGTTTCTTGGAGCTTCCAACAGCTTCCTTCACCTTAACAAAAGAACTATGCACAGATGGCAAAATGTCTTAAAGTTACCTAGGAGAGAGTAAAGTTTGGAAGTGCTACAATAATGTAGTTTAACAGCCACCTAAGAAACTTCTGAAACTGTAAGATTTATCTAGCAAGCTGATTCTTAATTAACTGACAAGCCTGCAACAAAACAAATCTATTACGCATCTGAGTTTCCATTTCCTCTGGAGGAAGGAAAATGGCACTGGTTTTGAGACACAGGGTAAGAGCCTCGAGTTTTTTTAAATACAAAAACATTCCATCTCAGGAAGAGGTCAACTTTCATCAAACTGGGAAGTAGCTGAGTTAAGACAAAATACTGAACTGTGACAGACACAGTGACTGATTTCTGAAACCTACAAACCCTCATGGATGTTTTTTTACCAGTGCCATCATTCTACAACATTCTTTAATCATTAATCTCAGTTTCTATCTTTGATCAATCTTAAACTTAGTAAAAGCACTACAACCAGTCAAGGATCAGAAAAAGAAATTTCTGCTAGCAAATTTCACAGTCTTAACTTCAAATGATACTTAAATTTTAGTGTAAACTGTAAAATTGTTTTTATAGGAACATTTATCCTGTAAGCATCCCCCCTACTTTAAGATACAAGAGGGAGGTGATAGTTTCATCTCCTACTGAAATCATAATTCATTTAAGCAAATCATCATGCTTTGCTGATCCAACTGTAAAACTGACCTTGCCTCAAGGGGGAATGGTGCCTTACATCTTTGATTCTTTTCCAAATTGCCATCTGACAAAAGATCTCACACATTTTTCCCCAGAAGTAAATGGGGGTGGGGGGAGGTAATTACAAGTTACTCATCCCCACAGGCTTGTGTTTTAAGAATACTCACACTCAGATTATACTTACCACTGTGATTTTTGCACAAGATGAGATACTCCCTCTTCAGTGACTCAAGCTGTGGCCCATATGACTAACAGATGAAGTCCTTGCTTATAAAAGAGATCTGATAATTACAAGTAAATCAGGCTTGGAGCTGCAGAAATCCAAGATGAAGGATCATTATTTTATCTCAGAGTAGTTTCACTTGTTGCATGTTCATTACTGTGAGGCCATGCAATTAGGCCATCAGTTAAGTAACTAATGTAAAAATCATACCTAGATGTCACGTACAGAGCTATAAAAGAACCACCTATGTCACAAACTTCTTTCTCTTTTAGTTCCAAATTTACAACTTGACCTTTTTTTTTTTTTACCACCTTTCTTAAATAAAAGCTCTTTGCTTTATAGGAAGCTACAACTGTGTGGAAGCAAACTGTGAACTCTTAGTACAGTAATACACTCTATTTACTTGGGTGTTTCAGAGTTGAACAATGCAAAGAACCAAGCAGGAGCCCCATGAAAACAGTGTATGTTATTTCAAATACTAAGTTTGAAAGCATCACCCATTCTACCTTTAGATAACAGTAATTCATCACTGATTTTACCTGCCTGTGGCACACACCGGTTTCAAAACCAACTACCTAAGAAATACATCAGGAATTAAAAAAGGTCTAGTTGTAATAAATACGTTATCCTTTCCAGGACTGGAAAATACATATACAAAATGTGTAACTTTCAGGGTGTCTAATGATCATTCTTCTTAACATATAGTGGTGGAAATAGGAAGCAGGAGGGTTTGAATTTACAAGAAAATCTGAAGTTAAGCTGGAAGGCAGAAGAAGCCAAGTCAGTCAGGTGTCCATGTACTGTTTGCTTACCTTGGCTGGGATACATGTGTGTCAAGGAGCAGACAAGGGCAGGCAACTGAACTCTATTTGACTGTTCACACAAGAACGTGCTGCACCCACACTGCTACTTTTTCTTGAGGGAAATTCTGCTTAGGCTATTGTACTTATCACTGAAAAAAACAAACTTGATAAGAACTAAAATGCAAGAGCCTTTGTATACAGAAGATGGGAGCTGCTTTAAAGAAGTCTTTTCACACAATATAGAGACCACTACTTTGTTCCGCATATGCAGCTACCACCCCTCCTGTCAGACATGCCTAGAGGAGTTTTTCCCCTCTAGTCATCTTGTCTGTTGTGACAAGCTCACGAAACTGCTCATCATGCCATTCTCCTCTCCCTTTTCCTGAGGCTAGCCACATACGTAAATCACAGTGATGATTCTGTCCCAGAGCATATTAGGTGCTAACTTGAGCTTGGATGGGGGTAGAGGCAGTGCAGGGGAACTGTCAAAGAAACACAGTCTGCATTCTTGGCTCAGTAAGAAACTTTTTCAACATCTCTGTCCTTACTAAAGTCTCGGATAGCACTGCAGGCTTGATTGTGAAATAGAGGATTTGATAGAAAAGAAATAATTGTGTACATGGAGTTTCAGGCTGCTATACTAAAGACACAGCTCCATGATTCAGACACACCTATTTGTCAGACTGTTTCCTAGGACCTTGCAGAAGCAATCTTGGCAGACCCAGAAGTAGCTCCTGTGCTTTGCAGTGCGCAAGCTAGAACAGTAGAACTTGTTTTGCCTTAAGTCTTTTGAGTCACTTCAGTTACAGAGCAGTACCCTTCCCAAAAGCTGTGTCTTAGACCACTGACTGTCCAAGATCACTACCCGAAAGCGACTTTTCACCTGTTTGTCCAACAAGGGTTAGAACGGCAGCCTGCAGCATTGACATTATTGCTTGTAGAACCTCATCATTAAATAAGGAATGAACAGCTTCAAGTTCTACAGTTGCTGCCACACTACATCTGATACAACATAAAATGCTGAGGAAGCAAAGTTGAACCACAGAACTCATTACCTAACAGTGTCTACATACCTAGCACGGATCATTTCTCAGCATCTATAGACTTTTAAGTGTGCATTTACATGCTTGCTGGCATGTAAAGACTTACTTAACTAGATGAATTCTGAGACACAAAACTAAAAGTCTTAACTACTTTTCAGCTCACCTCTGGTTCCAGGTAGGAAGTCTTGCCCTGGATCTGAAATCATGGAGCACTGTAGCCAGAAAGATGCACCCATTTAACACATGGTAATTGTCGCTCTTATGGAACAGACCGGTTCAACAGCAGAACAAGAATGCCAGAGGCAAGAGCTGTTTTGAAAGAGGAACATACCCACGCCTGTCCTGTGGGAAAACTCATGCCTAGTATGATGAGATTCCAGGATGCATTACTTATTCCACTTAAGCAGCTTCAAATAATTAGGGGCGTGTGTGTTAAAAGCCATGCGAGGCAGTTTATTCTGAAAACTAAGTTACTTTGAAAGCCCTGAAGGGGATTCAGAGCTCTGCACTATTTAACTGCAGCTAAAATACTTGGATGACATGTTTAACACAGCTGACCCAAAGCTCTGAGTTACAACTCCTGGCTGATTTCATACAGAGGAGAGGTTTGCCAAACTGACAAACTAGCAAGATGCTTTAGGTAGAAAGGAGCAAACCCTAACAAGCATGTAGAAAGGCCAAAGTTAACTCATTCCCATCTGAATAGATCTATTAAAACATTATAGTTGGTTTAACTGTTACAGCTCTTAATCACAGGACCATAAAATTAATACTCTTTAATTTGCTCTTTACAGGTTAGTCAAAAGGTCCCTCAACTTTCAGATAAGTGTTGCGAATATTATACTAACCTGTTTCTGCCAGATACATTCTAATAGCATTAAAGTTACTGAATTCCTTAAAAACAGTAACTAGATGATTCATATATATGTAAAAAAATAGTATTATTTGTGCCATGCCTTTGGACTACATGCCACATTATGACTGGACTGAACTAGTTATTCATTTAGAATATACCAAACAAATCAGGTAGTCTGGCTGGTCTTAATTCCTTTTACCAGTGGTTCAGAAATGCTTCTGACTTTAGGGATGAAATTTTGCTGCCATACAGGTTAACTTTCAAATGATCTGCTTCTGGCAAAATCCCTACGACAAGTTAAATGCCACAGCCTCTTGTGTACAACACAGTAAGTGTATGCCTAAGAACAGTCACCATCAATGCTTGCAAGAATCAGGCCATGGTGTAGACACAAACTTAAGTCTCACTGGCTGAGATTAACCTAGTCCAGTGAATCTTCTCCAATAGGTAGCCAGTAGCAGATGTCTCAAAGAATACAACAAGCAGAGAATTCCCATTATCCTGCAGCTTTTACAGTGAAAATCGCAGCTGGAAGGGAAGATCACAGAACACCTTAAAGCAACACCTGCTATTTTAAACAACAGAAATGGCAACTTCAGCCCTGTTTAGAAGCAGGAATCCACACTTGGACTACCTACTGGGAGGATAGTAGAGGACATCAGGGATTATATGAAGTAGGTAACTAAGCCCAAGTATAAAATTTGACTTTGAACTCTGGTTATTTTATCATCAAGCCTAACTGATATTTTGTTAAAACTTCTGCTTTTAGCCATAAAACTTTCCAGAGATTCTTTCCATCTTTCATCCAGCTAGGTTAAGCCATCAACACTGAAGAGATTTAATTCCACCATTTGCTTCTTAAATTGAGCAGTCATGCAGAACTAGCTTAAAGAAAAAAATCCCCCAAATGTATGTTCTGCAACTTAAGCCTATTCAAGTCATTCAACTGACGTTTTCCTCAGGTGGAAAGGAAAGGCAATGATTCTTTAAGGTTTGTCTACACAACCACTCAACAGGTCTTGTATCTGCTGTAAAAACACTGAATTTCACTAAAACTCAAGTTCCTCAGTATAAGGGTTAGTCAAACGAGTCAAAAATTCATCCAATATTACTTTAATATTTGCGTTTTAATTACATGTAAGAATAGTAGATAAAGTCTATTTTGACATTACACTCTACCCTGAGCAATATGCTGGCCAGCTAGCATGTTACAAAGTGACTTCGTTATCCTGCCGTAAGTGGCTGGCACACTTGCATACCATTTCTAGTGCTTAGCCACAGGTAAGAGCCCCACACTTAAAACACATTAAAAATAAGACCACAGTTGAGCAAGGATTAAGAGGCATCAACATACTCTTGTCAGGCTCTCCGCTTCTTAAAAAGAATCCCCCAAAACACACCAAAACGAAATACGCAAGTTGAAGGCAGCATCTAAAAATTAAGTTACTTACAGCAGACCACTGTGGACAGCAGCTAATACTTACACCTTCATCAAATTCCATCTTTGTAAGTGAACCATAGAGTCACCATTTGAGATTTAAGGGTGATTTGTAGCTATCTTTGGCTGCTTAAAGCCATCATCAGTACATTAAACCACAGAAGGTAAATGCACTGCTCTGAGGTATGTAGAGATTCTTCAGTGTTCAGGAAGTCTATGCATTCTCTGTTCCCAATTTAAAAACTTCTTAAGCAGGAAATTCGGTATCACCACCTGTGCTTCCATGACATTTTAGTATGCAAGAAAGGCAAATGTGTATGTAGGGTACTGTAGGTTTAGGAAGGGAAAAAAAAAAAGATCATTTAGCAACACCTTTATATGTACACACATGACTAATATACTTAATAGTTTGCCAGACAGTACCTGTTTCAATTGCTTCAGTTTTCCATACAAGCTGAATTTCCAGATGAGTGTAAAAATTTATAGATTGAGCATTTAAAACCATGGCAATAGCAGCGACAATTAGGACAAGCCTAAGCCTTTTTCTTTGAACACAAAAAAACCCCAAAGTGTAACAAGACCTTTTCCATTACGAAAAAGGAAAAACCTTATCAGTTACATTAAGCTACCTAACGGCTTAAACAACACAACTCTAAATGCTGGCTGCTCAAGGTATATGCCAACACAAGCAGCTTAAACAGTAGGTGGCGACACACAAAGTTGGTAATACCCTTGAATTCCCCACCTTTTCACAAGGAAGCCACACAAGCTATCTCAAAGATACCAGGTTCATTCTGACAGACTGCTCCTTAGAAAACGCAGAACTTTAAACCAGTGCTTCAAATGACATGTTACATATTTAAACAGAAAAAGACTTAAAACTTCTGTGCAAATTTAGTTCATCCACCCATAAGTTAGGAAATAGGTTCAACAGAAGGTTTATGTTAACAAATCATGTTAGGGTAGAATTAACAGGTAAGTACAGCATTTGAAGGCTACAGTCATCTAAACAGCATTTTGTGGGCAGCATACTACATTGAGAACTCAGTATTTTTTTAAGAGGCAAGCAGGTATTTTACATAGATTTAACACCTGCTAAAGTATAACCTGTAACAGTGATTTAGCATTATGTATATAACACTGATCTTAGGCAAACAGACACATTAAACCAACAAATCCAAGGACTGCAAGGAATGTTACAGCTGGTAGGAGCCTGCTACAAAATCCTTAAGGATGCATTGCTGTGTTGCTGTAAATCTTAATTCAGGACACTGGTGAACAGCTTTAGCAAGAGACCTTATACCAGCCACTTAAAAGCAAGCAGACATTTCAGTGTCTTTTTTGTTTGGTTGCCGGAAGTTTAATCTTGCTTCACTTCACCCTTTAAGTGCCTTTTCATACGTGAATATGGGCTGATTGTGTCATCCATCACGAAGTCATATAGTACTTTTACCCAGGAGTTATACTGTGGCAGGTTGTCATAGTATTCAGCTGCTATTTTCTTCACCTAAAGAAGAAATACAAGGTTTATTTGCTACTTATATTAGCACTAATAATGAAAATTCACAGTTCTCAATGTATAAATCAATACAGAGCAATAAAGTCTCATTTTAGCTGTTAAGAGTCTATAAGGAAGGCTACTAGTACCACAATATGAAAGTTTCTTGAAGGAAAAAGCTACTCCCTGATTGTTAAGTAAACATCATGTGAAACTTTTCTACTGAAGGCAACTAGAACAAGCTGCTAGCACTGAAGTCCATTCACTGTGCTACCTACAGAATGATGCAGCTCACAAAAGTACTTTGGTTGCAGTGGAAGTGGGTGATTCAGTTTAGTGCTGACTCATACGAGTTATCCCCAAAAAGGATGCTTTATGTACTAGGAAGAGATGTTGAAGCACAGCTATTTTTACATGTAGCTTCAAATCATAGCACACAAAGAAAAAAAAGCATCTTCTTTCTGAGGTACATACCGTTTCTGCAGACATCAAAGAACATGTGTAAACCACTTCCAAAGACTATTCTCAAATGTACATGCTGACTAGACCACTGTTACAATCTAAGAGGTGGAGTTTCAGTTAGATATCCTTTACTGCTATTTAAGGCCCACCACCTAAAGACTTAAAAAACTAAACAAAACAAACCTGAATTTTCACTAAATTCCATAGCTTTTGACAGAAGTATTAATTTGTATTAATTAAATTAATTAATTAATTCATGTATTGTGTAAATTAATACACAAACCAACCCAAGATACCTGCATGCCTGCTTTGGAGCTGAAGATTTTGTTTGATCCATCATCACACCTACAGTGTGATCACAGTACATCTAACCACTATACTTTTATTCAATGGTAATTATATCTAATACCCCAGCTGGAATCAAGTGTTTAGTTACTTCAGTGATCAGCACACAGCATAGCAGAGTCCAGTCCAATCAAATTAACTATGCTCTTCTGAAAGGCAGCTTTGTTCTTTTATCAGAGCTGTGGATTAACAGTCCTATAGCAGAGCTGGGTATTTACCTCTGCAGTTAAGTACTTGGAAAAAAATTCATTCCCTGCTTACAACTTCAGTACTGGTCCAAGAAGTGAAATACTGGTTCACCAGCACAGATCTCAGCAAGTTAAAGCAGCTTTGGCTGCATTTGAAAGATGAAATCTATGGATAAGAAAAGTCATCTGTCTCTTTCAAAATCAACAAAGCCCACAGAAAAGTCTCAACAAAGGAGTTACCGAATTTAACCACCCTGCTAAAGTACTGCTAGAGTAGTTATTTCATGTACACTTCCACTGGCAACAGAAGCAACAATCAAGCTTATACTCCAAAGGCACAAGCTTACAAGGTCACTATCAAGTGCAGTAACAAAGCTGCAAGACCAACACCGCAGCTGCTGTCAAACTGCAAATTTATTGTCTGATTAAAGGCATTTTCCACTGATAAAAGCAACTTTTGACTGAAGATGAGTTTTAGGTGTAACCCTGGAAGCCTGTGTTCCCATACTCCAATTGGGACACACGTATACAATGACAATTTAGCTCCTGCTTAAAAGCCAGCAAAGACTTGGAGAGGAACTAATTTGAAAATTCCCATCTTCTCTCATGTGGAAGGCCCAAAGTCTCAGCTTTGAAGCTTAACACTTACTTAGGGTTCAAAGGCTTTCACCAGAAGAAACTGAGCTGCTCCAAACTAGAAAGCTATTAAACACACGTCACAGTACAACACACAGCAGCAGTACCTCAGACCCTCTCTTTTCCCCATCAGAGAATGACAGCGATAGAAGAGACTGAAGGATAAGCATGCATAAGAACACTGTCCTTCAGATTCTAAAGACAGAGCCAACAAATCTGAAGTTATCTGCAACTTCTTAGCTAGTTTCTGAAGGAATCAGAAGGCTGGTTGTGATTAAAGAATACTCAAGTGCACAACTTAAGACATACATTTCCTGCCCTCCACTTTCATGGAAGAGGCTGTGGTTAGGTTAAGAGACCACTGAAATTATAAATAATTACCCCCTTCATCACTGAACTTGGGAACAGTTGTTTGTTCTTGTTTGGGGTTTTTATCTCCCAACTTCCATTCTTCTATCAGTGTTCCACCCAATTTTCAAGGAGGGCTTATTCTGAGCAAAAGTAGTAACCTCAGAAGTAAACTTACCAGTGGAAGGCTCTTGCCAGGAATATTAGGAAAGTCATGATGTTCATTGTGATAGCCAACATTAAAAGTGAGCAAATTAAGTGGCCCATAGTAGGAATACGTCTCATGTCCTTTCAAAAACATGTAATGTTCAGCTATGAAGTGTCCTGAAATTGGGTGCAACCCAAGTCCAAGTACTGAACCGGCAAGCATGTAAAATGTGGATTTAACTCCCCATAAATAATATATCACGACATCAAAGGAAAGTTGAGCCAACAAATTAATTATTTCAAGTCGAGTAATAGGTTTGGGATTGATGCAGAGAGGTCTAATTGCATAGAAAAATGGCTGAAGAACAATCCATATGAACTTCCTAAAACGGGTGCAGAAAAACCAGCCTTCAAAGTTGGTAGGAATGTCCACATCAATTCCATCACCTCCTAAATAACGATGATGATCCATGTGGTATCTCTTGAAGGATATGGAGTATGGGAGACCAAGCGGGAGGTTGGCAAATATCCCAAACCATCGATTCCACATTGCTTTGCTGTTGCCAAAGGCACTGTTGTGGGAGATCTCATGAATCGCCAGAGTCATGGAGTGGCTAATACAGCTTCCAAAAACGTATGCCCAGAAGATTACCCATTTCCAGTCCAAGTCTTTAACTAGATAAAATGCAGTCAACTGTGCGAGAACCATCAGCACAACCACCCAGATCAAGTTGTAGTCTGGCTTCATCAACGCTTTAATCTCTGGATGCTTCGCTAGATGGGAAGAATTCAGTGGGGAAAAAAGCAGTTATTTAGAAGCTCTCCTCACAACCAATTAGATTACAAAAGCGGATACAGCCATTCCTTCCCTTCCTCCCAGTTAGGGCTGTCTGCAAACACGATGAAAACCCACCAGCTTTCCACTTGTGACATTTACTGCAATCATGAATCCTTTCAAATTAAATCATTTTAGCGTTTTTCTGTTGCTCAGAAACCAGGCACGTACATGACAAGCATCAGTCCCACCTCAGGCTACTCAGAAAGGAATAGCCTTGAACTGACAACCCACCAGCAATTCAGAAGGGCTGATTTCGGCCATCTCGCTTGAAAACGCGGTAACTCGCCACCACTCCTGGGTGCCGCGGCCACTTTTACGCCCTGCACCCGAGCTATTTATACCGACCACCAGACACGTTATCAATTATTCAGCTCGCTTCCTACCGCAAGAAGGGCTCCGCGGAAGGGGGCGGGGAGAGGCCCACAGCCCCGCAGGGAGCGAGGGGAACCGCATCATCCGCGCCGCTCCGCAGCACGAAACGGAAGCCCGGGCCGCCCACCCTATGTCTGGGGCTCAGGCGCTGTCTCCGCCGGCAGCGAGCCGATCCCCCGCCTCCTTCTCCTTCCCCTCCGCCGCCGCCAAGGTGGCGGCTCCCGCCTCCACATAAGCGGCCGGCGCCGCTCCCCTCACTCGGCCCCGGCCGGTTGTGGCCCCGGCCGCACTCCTCCACGCTCGCCCGTCCCCACGTTCCAGGTTCCTCTAACGATCAGCGGCGACTGACAGGCGTTCCGCACGGCGCCCCCCGGCGTGGGCGCCTGGCAGCCATTTTGTGGGGTATCCCCCGCGCCCCGCCACGCAGGCAGCGGCAAGGAGCGGCAGTACCGCCGCTACCTCTCCTCCTCACCCAGGATCTCCTTGCGGCGGTCTGCATGAGGCTGGTCCGTGTAGACCCACTCGAAATCCTCCCTGGCGACGGTGTTGCCCATCACGGCGGCGCGGAGACACAAGCCCGTACCCACCCGATGCGACTCCACAGCGCCTAAACCGCGACACCCACTCTCCCGGCTCCGCACTTTATAGCTCCGCGGAGGCGGCTCGGCGGGAGTCCCGCCCACCACCCAGGCCTCGCTTCCCATTGGCTAGCTGCCGGCTGTCAGGGCTGACAGACCCCGCCCCTGCCCGAGACGGGCCTGAATGGGCGGGGCGAGGCGCGGCGCGATGCGAAGCCATCGCCTGAGGGGTCGGGCGGTCCTCAGTGCCAGCCCCCGCCGAAGGGCGGTTGTGTGTGCCCCCATCTTTACGGAAAAGGTGCACATTGATCCGTCCTGCGGTCGTGCGGGCGGGCTGCGGCTCTCCGACCTTCCCGCCGGAGGCGTCCTTGGCCGAGGGGCCGGGTGTGGGCTGAGGGGGCCGTGACGCGGTGCCGCCTCAGGGGAGCAGAACGCGGGGCGGCAGCCTGCCACTCAAACCAGTAGTGCGGTGGCCAGTGCTGTGGGTGTCCTTAATAACGCCTCATGAACAACTGATACGTAAGGAGGGAGAGGAAAGTCTCGGCTTCTAACTCTGGCCCTGACTCCGGGAGCCCTCCTGCGCCCAGGCGCTGTGGAAACCAGGAGCTCCTTCATGGTTCACCGTGGTAGGGAGGACGGGCCGGCTTCATGTTCACACACACCCCAACCCGCTGTGTGCTGCCTCCTGTCTTGAACGGTGATCATACGGGTTTAGCTGTCGGTGGGATTTCTGCCCCCTCGTGGGTGACAACTTGCCCAAAGGCCACCACAGACTGTCGAGCAGATTCATGCGAGTTGGTTTATTAAGACTGGAAATAAAGCACTTTTTCTTGTCCATAGGTGAGAGATGTGTGGTTGGAAGAGCTAGCTGTCATTTGGCCAATCTAAACTTCTAAAAGGTACCTAAAGATACATCCTCAGCTGCAACTCCAAAACACCTGGGCCAAGGTAGGTCTCCATTTTCTTCACTTTTTGTGGTAAGATATTTTAAGAGCTTTGACAAACTTCTCTGTGAGAGCTAAACTCCATGTTATCTGTCCCTGCCTCTATTTTGCATAAAATACTGACTGTGGGCAGTTCAGATACAAAGACTACTTTATGTAGCAGTTAGAATGAGTACTTGCTTGGAATTTTAGTTGTCCTTAATTCCACTCTAATGATAGATAAAGCAGTAGATGCCTCTTATGATAGCTAAAGGATTAGATGCCTCTTAAGATTGATAAAGCAATAGACATCACTTATGATAAAGTGACGGCTGCCTTTTATGATAAAGTGATAGATACCTATATGATAAAGGTATAAATGCCTCTTATGACAGATAAAGGGATAGACATCATTTACATTAGTAAAAGTGGTAGATGCCTGTTATGATAGAGGAAGTGATGGATGTCTCTTACAATAGATAAGGTGATAGAAGCCTCTATGATAGATAGGGTATGTAAATCAATAATAACTGATAAAACTAACAGGAAGTTGTCACAAAGTAAATTATACCTGATGTATGAATGTAATATGAATATCTCAAGGTTCATGATGCATCGCTTGAAATTTATTAGAAATAATGAATAAAAAAGGCCAATAAATATTACCCCATGTGCAATGGTGCAAATGCAGTGGAAATACAATTCCTACTTGAAAACGTTTACAATCTAAAGTAATGGACAAAGCACAGAATCTGTAAGATGAAATAGCTTTGCAAATATTTTTGTTTACACACATTCTTAATCTGTGCATATTAGGATGTGAATTAGAAGCGAAAATGGGAAGAGTGGAAAAAAGATGGAAAAGTTTATTCACAGTTTTTCCGTCCACAGTCACATGTGAAGAGTGGTGCAGCATACACAGGAAAATCGATGTTTCTATTTCATCAAGGCATTTTGTCCTTGTTCAGTTTTACTTTTTGCTCAGTGACCGCTTCACAATAAACCAGGAAGTACTTTGAGTTACCAGAGCAGAAGTTGTTTGCAGAATTGCCAGGATCACAAGTGTTTCACTCAATGTCAAAAACGGGTGACATTTGAATGGAAAGTTCAGTTCCCAGCTCCAGCTTTGGATGCCATGGGTCTGATGGACTGGTTGAAAAGCAAGTCTCCCTTGTTCCTCAAAATGTTCCCTTCTCATTGTAGTTCAAATATTAGCACTGCACTAAAAACCTTCTCAACCATGGGAAGGATCCTGCAGAGAACAAAACGTGGCTGCTGCTAAGAAAGGTCATAGCTACTGACAAGAGCACTGGAGGGAAAAAAGACAAGGGTATTGAGTTCAGTACGCAGCAGCAGGTTTACAGCACTGCAAATGTATATAGGTTTGTAAATGGTCACAAGTTTCAGTTAAATAGAATCCAGATTTATAAAATAAACGTTCAATTGCAGCTAAACAAGGCTTAAACAACTAAGAAAAATATTAAATAGGAAAGTTTTGGAAAATGTAATTGACCAAGTGTCCTGGAGTGCAGTGTTTTCCCTAATCACTGAGCCTTTCTGGTTTAAGCATTCCATGTAACAAATCCAGATTAGGTTCTCAGCAAGGTAACAGGTTTTGTATGGAACTTTCCCTTCCAAAGACAAAGATATCCAGTACCTAACATGTCTTCATCTGGCACAAAGCTAGAAGAAAAATCCTGGAGTGCTCAGTTACACATAAGCCACAGCTGGCAGCGAATCCCCATCCACCCAGGAAGGTGAGATCCAGCAAGTACAACTGCAAGAACTGAGAGCACATGGACAAGCGAGCTGGTTCAAGAACAGTGCAAAGCAACAGAGGAATGCAACTAGAGAGTATCAGAACAGTTAAGTAGCAGATGTGTTGTGGTAAGATACTCCAAACTGAATTTACCTATGAATGAAGTTAACAAACTAACAAACTGGCAATTTGCCAGTTACCACCTTAAAATCATCAGGAACACTAGGAAATCAGGTTATCCTTGCTTGTCTGAACACACATTTAACTACTTCTTACATCACCCTTATTTTCAAGAGGCTCTTGATGCAGAAAATTCCTTAGGTGATCTTAGCAGTTCCCATAATTAACTGTTAGAAGATCTTAGAGCAACAAAGCTTCTGTTCAATAGTCTTACCTTTTACATTAAGAAATTATGTGGAGGCATCCTTGTAACATTAATGAACTTCTGTGATTAAGTTAATGCGCTGAGTATCAGGAATTCAAGACTCTACCATGAAACAAAGAGCTGTTACAAAGTAAGCTGCTTTTTTAAGACTAAAAAAAACAGGAAAGCCTCAGGAGTTTTAAGCTATTTTAAGGCATAGCTGTAGAAGACACTTGGGTTTCCTTGTCAACCCTGAGCTGTACTGTTTCAGCCATTGCTAGATGCGCTAAAACTGAAGACACTGCAAATAAAATTTTTTGTTAACTTGTAAATTACATCTTAGTCTCACTGATCTGAGGTGCTACCTTGAACAGATTCTGTGATCACTAACTGCTACTAACACTGTACTTTTTGAGGCTGATATACCAATTCATCTAAACCTGCACAGAAATTCAGTCAGAAATGATTTAATTTTACTTCAGGCTATTTATCAGCTTGTTCATATACTGCAAAATGCACCCTTTTATATGTAGTAAGGGTCAACATGGGGTCAGAAATTAAGAGTTCCAGTTATTCATCTACTATTATTTATTTTCCATGTTCTATCTATACCACTAGTGTATATTCTAGCCTGAGAGTCATCTCCCTCCCTCCCCAGGAAGTGAAAACAAAACAGTAGCATACCTTTGCTGTGACATTTCTTGGAGATTGCTTGTAAGGATCCCCCTCTACCACTTAAGTTTCATGGGGCTCATTCAATTTTACTACATTTGGTAGCACACAGAGGATGAGGACACACCTGCGAACTTGCAGCATGTGATACTTCCTTTAGTTGAAGGTTCCAACTTGGCACCATTCACAGAGAATGTTTCATATAACAATAGGCTGTAGTTGTTCTTTCCAGCTCAGTTTACACATGGCTTACACACAGATTCACAAATGTATTAATACGAATAACCTGAAATGATTTGTATACTAGGGGGGAGGGAGGGAACTGTTTGCATCTTCTAGAATAAAGAAACTAAAGTGAAAGATACTGAGATATATGAATTAACCTTTTCAGTATATGCAATTCCTATTTAACCACAAATATGGGGTAGTTAAGAAAACTTCATCAATTTGTCACCATGAATGACCATTAAATGAATTTGTATCAAATGATGGACGGCAGTTACAGCTATCATTCTGAACCTTTTGAGTCAAGATTATTTTCTAAAAGACAAAATATATGCTTTTAAACTGAACAGCAGACACCTACCTTAAAGAGGTCCGTAACAGTGAAAAAAAAGCAATTTACTCCTTTAACAGGTTAACCTTTCCCTCAGATAACTTTGTATCACTTCCTGGCTGCTTCTCTTAAGCAGTATGTTTGTTCTTTTTTAAAGGACACAAACCACCCAACAAGTTTATTTGAAAATTAAATGTCTGCTAAATATTAGGCATTTGCAATGTTACTTCTGATATGAGCTAATATGTTTTAGAAGTAAAACTTGTAGCTGAAGTTTTAAGGAAAGGTCACTTTTCCCACAGTTGTGTAACATCTGACCAGACAATTTCTCTTTGTTCACCGATTTAAATACAACCACTACATGATGCTGACAGCCACATAAAATGTATGAGAAATTTGCACTTTAACTCATGGTAATAACAGCAAGATTCTGACCAGCTCCAAATGCAGTATTTGCATTTTCAGTACCACACCAATTTGAATTCAGTACCACCTAAACACAAAGCAGCAGCTGATTAAAAAAAACCCGTAAGTCAAATGATAAAGCCACATAGTTTAGTACATTAAAACAAAAACAAGGACAATGGTATTTATATAAAGTTCCAAAAATATACAGATGGGGAAAAAAAAAAATAAAATCACTGTACACAACTCTGATGTTGTTAAGGTGATCAGAGAGACTGAACAGTGCAAGACATGCTTTTCCAGTTACAAGCTCAAAA